GTGATTTTTTTTTTAAACATTGTTATGAAAATATTTAACCTGAATAGAATATATTTTTTAAGTTACATGTGATCTTAATAAAAACCGTGTATTATTACAAAATAAGAATATTTTTTTAAAGAAATCACATGTGATCTTAATAAAAAAAATGTGTATTACTACAAAATAACATGATAAAGAGAGATATTAAACTAAATATAATGTTTTTTTCAAGAAATACTATGTACCCTAGAAAATAACATGATAAAAAGAGATATATTATACTATGACATGTAATTCGAGAAAAAAATACATGTTACAAAGGACACTTACGTAATTACACATGCATTCCGACATGTTACCGACAAGTTACGGTACCTCAGAGTTAATTTGTATATTTTTTTGAATCTATGGTTACTTTGTATACAGGCTCTGCCCTTGACAGATTTTTTGTGAAACATTTCTATTGAAACCCATTTTCTAAGGATTTTTTTTTAGGCCCCATGATTAATAAAATATGCCACAAAATTAACAAAAAAGTCCCATGATTAGTAAAAATGCCTCATAATTAGCAAAAAAGTTTTATAATTAGTAAACAATGTCAAAAATTAAGAGAAATTGTTAAATAAAAATTAGAAATGCCCCATAATTAAGAAAAAGAAAATTTTTAGCAGTTTTTCCTTTTCTAAAAAACCCCAAAAAAAATTTTCGTATTCGGTCCCGGATTTTACCGGACCGCTGTTTGTATATATTCCCAATAATCAATACGGCCAAAGAATTCTTATCTACATCAAACACATATAGTTGACAAAAAAATTAATAATATACAATAGTACCAAAATTAAAAATTAACAACACAAATTACAATACTGTTTGTTTACCAACCACTACCTATTTTTAATATACTACTATTAAGAAAGTCTCATCTTGAAATTAATACTCGATATAAATATTCCAGATAATTTAGCATGCAACACGTTTGCTGACATAGTACCATTATAATATGATTAAGTTAATCATGTTATCATGAACTTCTTCATACAATTTTTTTTTTTATAACCCAGTATCCAGACTACACAGTGATTTGACTAGCCCACGTCACAGGGATTTTTAAGCCTCCACTTAAGGGTCCCCTGATAAACTGGTGGTCTGGGGCGCCTGAGCAAGTCCGCATGTAAATTCCCAGGTGACCACAGGAGTGAGAGAGCGAAACTGCGTCTGGGAAGGATCGATCCCTAGCCTAGATCAACAGGACGATCCTTCCAACCAACTTCTTCATACAATTTTAACCAAAAAAAAAAACTTTTCATACAAGTTTGTGTCGATGAAGTCTCGTCTTTTATGTTTGAACGTGAAATTTCTCGATGATGTGGTTGTGATCAGTCACCATCACCATTAGTATATATTCATTTTCCTACGTTTATCAAGAAATTGAAAGGAAACAAAAAAATGTGCCACGTGAAATACGAAATCCTAAATATTTCCGTATAGTGACGCCTAAACAAGTTGTCACAAAAATACTTGGGTGACGAAATATTTGACCAAATCGCCTGATTCCTAAAGTCTTAACTACTATCAATAATACAAGCTTAAATAATAATAACCCCAAAAACACGTTATGAACATGCATATGTTATGTTCGAACTAACTAAGTATTAGGACATAATGTCCCACATTGGAAGTTGGAAGGGATCCTAAGTAATATATAAGGGATATGGGCCACTCCACTCATTGTCAATTGGTTTTGAGTTGGAAGCCCATATTATAATATGGTATCAGAGCCCGATCCACACATGTCCAACCCGATCCGACCCAAAGATGGTCCAATCATCGACAAGGCCCAAAATTGATGCCGTCGATCTAAGCCCGAACATTCCGAGATTAATGGCCAAAGAGCCATCATCTCGAGGGGGCGTATTAGGACATAATGTCCCACATCGGAAGTTGGAAGGGATCCTAAGTAATATATAAGGGATATGGGCCACTCCACTCATTGCCAATTGGTTTTGAGTTGGAAGCCCATATTATAATACTAAAATCATCATTTTTAATTAAAATCACTAGATATTAGAATCGTGTAAGACTGTAGGTTGAATTTAATTATATTATCGACTCACTCAATATGATGAGTCATGAATGTGAACTTAACCTAAACAAGTTGTCGGGATTCACAAGTTGTCACACTCATTTATCAGTAACAAGAAGAATTTGTTATATATGATCCAAAACCAAACTCTACGATATATTTTACTATACCAATTTTCCATAAACATCAAAAAAAAATTCTTTTCTTTTTTGGGGTCTAAATCAAACAATTATTTCACATTTAAGGAAAACAAATTGTGGGCCACGAAAAGACTAAAGAGTAAGAAAAGAAGACCGGAAGTGAAGTTTCAAACAAGAACAAGTTTCAAACTCGTTGAGTTTCTGGAGAATCATCATAAAGCCCGCTTTTCTCAAGCCACTGACTGACCAAGTATCCCACAAATTGAGAGAATCCCGACGCCGTCGTCGCCATCGTCGTGTACCGAAACAGAGTCTTGACATAATCCCGTTTCTTCGAGACGTAAGCTTTCGCAACTGAAAGCAAGAGGACGCAGAGTAGAGACACTGCGTAAACAGCTAAAACTTTGTACTCTTGTCTCTTCTCCAATCTTCTTCGAAACGAGAAGCCGTATACCAAAGGTGGGATCAAGCCGAAGATGACGAAAGAAGAGATTGCGATCAATCTGTGAAGTCTCGAATACTCTCTTCTTCCGAGAATTTCCTCGTATCGATCTTCTTCTCCTTCTACGTCTCCTGGAGAATCATCAGTGTTTGTTTGTCTTCTGGGTTTCTCGTTTATTAGTTCTTGGAGCTGCAAAAGATGGACTCTTTGTTCAATACTCTGAGGGTTACATTTCATTACAGATGCGAAAGATCACTTACACTGTGAACGGTCAGAAGAAGACCGCTTGACAAATTGGCAACTCCCAAGGCTAAAACATTCACTGAATTACAAGCAAAAACATTAGTAATGTTTTAGGCGTTCAAAGTTTTTCGATTAAATGCCTCAAAGAGAATGGGATCACCACTTACGAGTTGAAGCACCAGTCGCCGCCGCAGATGTTACGGTGCATAGGCTTGTGATGGATTCTGTAAGACCTCCATACACAATACTTTTCAAGATTTCGAGTTTATTACCGTCTTTGCGTGGTTCAACACTATTTGGGATCTCTGGTTGAGCATTAGGTGGCAATACAGGTTCTGCTTGAGTTTCCTTATTGATAATTTTCTTGGAAGGTTGCTCCAGTGTTGATGGATATATCGGAGTTAGGTGATTGTTTTGGTTTTCTTGCATAATTAAGAATCTCCGTTAAGAACCAAACTTAATTGGGATTTATCTCAGAATCAGAATTCAGAACAGACCTGTTTTCTTGTCAAAATCTTGATCAGGATTTGCAGCTTGGTCATCGTGATGTTGAGCTTTTGCTGGTTCTTCACTAGTTGTATCCGTAGACTTGGAGTCGACCCTATTTTCGCCTGGCATAGTTCCGAAAAGCGTCAAATCAAAGTGTCCAATGAGCAGAATGCTTCCTTTAATCAATGAAGTGACAAGGACATAAGAAGGGGGGAAAGGCAACTACCTTTCTCGTCGTGATATCTTGGACTGAAACGGGACCTCATTGAAATAATGAAGAGAAGCAACACCGCAAACGTGGGAAGTAACAAAAGTATAGAAGCGGAAGGCAGCCGCAATGAAGGCATAGAAGGCAAATGCACATGCGGTTGAATGAAAGGCGGTGGAGAAGTCGAAAAGACAGAAAGAGCAATAATAATACAGAGGAACGACCAAGCAAAAACATCGAGGTACCACTTCGGAAAACTCTGTCCGCCTTTCTCATTACTGACATCAATGCTTGGTTCTTCACCATTGATATCAAGGTCATCGGAAGTTTCTGGTAACTTTGAATCAACCCCTTTCTCGCCTGAATTTGCCAAGAAACCAAAGTCAATCACAACTGCCACATAACTATATCTAAAGAAGAGAGGAAAAGAAAAGGTACCTTGGTCTTTGTTAGGACCATAAACAGAAGAAACCAGCGGCTGACAAAAATCAAGAAACCATGATGGAACCTTTGTTTTTTTGCCTATGGATCTTGAACCATTCTCAATGTCACTGTCATTAGCTCTATTCTCAGTGTCATGGTCTTTTGTGGGTTGGGGATCTGACATCTTCACGAGCTTAACTGTTTTGGTGATATCTTCACCACAACAAGGACAGTATATGTAATACTTATGTTGGTTCTTGATCACAGTCTCCACATCATCATCCAGTGAATCAGGTTCTGTCTGTAAATCTTTTGCTTTAGCTACATCTTCAGTTTCAGAGTATTGGTTCTTGTCTATGGATCTTGAACCATTCTCAGTGTCAATAGTTTCATTTGACTCCGATCCTATGGGTGGGTAAAAATTTCGATTTTGAGCATTCGAAAAAAAAATGGGAATAGTACTACTTCATATACTTTTTTTTTCTTTTGTAAGTATCAAATTGAATAAGATCATATATTTTATGAACTACATATAAGTAACTAATCAGAAGTACATATAATTTTCAGACCTTGTTCGTGGCTGAAGTCAACGCCATCGTCCTTCTCGCTGCGGAGTGGCGAGTCCGGAGGCAGGTTGGTCAATTCATCGGTACAGACACTGTTGCCGGCGGAGCTTTGAGTTGGAGTTGGATTCGTGGTAGGTTCCATCGGAGACAAACAAAGTTGAGATGCAGAACCATGTTATCACAATTTATGGTTACTACTTTATCTGAATATTTTAATTTCACGAGTTCCACGTTCTATAATATAATCCCAACTAACTTGACTTTGTTTTTTTAAATGAAAGAAGTGAAGACAAACTGATAAATCTTGATTAAAAATCGAACTTTTTTGCTTACCTATAAACAAAACAAGTTCGTGTACAAAAGGAGAACTCTGTTAAATGAATATAAAGAAAGTAAACAGCTAAAGAACAACTCTTTTGGTAGCTTTGGTGTTTATCTGAAACAAACTTGTAGAATCTTGAAATCAACCTTTTCGGTATTCAGAGGCAAGCTCATGAAAGCCTAACTTTTCAAAGATATCACTAGCGATTTGGCTGGCGATGAAAGAAAGAGCAGACGCTCCAATCGCCATTCCGGTGTATTCAGCCACGGTCTTGACTCTTCCCATTCGGAAGGCGTAAGCTTTTTGGCAAAGGAGAGTAAGATCACGCAGACCAAAGATACAGCGAGAACAACCGCAGCTTTGTAGTGTCCCTTGTCGCTTATTTTGAAAGAGAAGGCGTAACAGAGAGGAGGGATCGCACCGAAGAAGAAGAAGGAGAGCACAACAACGACGCAGTGGAGCTTGAACTTCCCTCTGTTTCCCAGCAGTGTTTGGTATGGATCTTCTACTTCCACACTCGTCATATGATCACTGTTAGTACTTTGAGATCGTGGTTGATTCGATATTAGTCCACGCAACTGCCAAAATATATCCTCTTTTGTAAGTGTGAATCGAATGAAAAGGTTTTTTACTCACTAAGTGTTTAGAGACACATGAGAAAACAGAGTAGAGGTTCGGTTTCTCAAGGGAAAACAGAGTTTGTGCTCTGTTTACTAATTTAACACTTACTAACGTCTTAAAACCTTTCGCAGGCAAAAAAAAAAAGAGAGAGGAAACAGAACGACTTACGTTGTGAACGATGATAAAAAGGCCACTAGATAAACTGGCTAGCCCCAAAGAGATAACGTTGACTGCAAGCAAAGATAAGATTAGTTGGAATTGAGATGTATGGAAAAATTGAATGTCATGTTTATGTGTACTTACGAGTTGAAGCTCCGGAAGCGATAGCAGAGGATACGACACCGAGGCTTGTGATGGACTCGATAAGACCTCCGTAAACAATACTCTTCAAGATGTCTAGCTCTCTTGGTACGAGGTTTTGAACTTGAACCACGATATATTTCCACAATTCCTTTGGATTTGGCACTGAAATACGGATGCGGGTTGCTTCATCAATAACAACAGGTGGCTGAGGCGGTTCTACAACGGGATTACTCTCTTGGTTGAGAGGCGAATCTAAAATGAGAAAACAAGATGGGAAACAAAGTTTGGAGTCATCATTCCAACACAGAATCAAAGAATTGAGGCAAAAAGTGATACCTATATATAAATATAGTGTTTATAATTCTTTGGTAATCATTCCAACGGGATTACACTATATATAAATATAGTGTTTATAATTCTTTGGTAAAGCTATGGCAAAAGGAAAAGGAAAGAAAAGGGATTACAATTCCCCTACATGTTTTAATTGCTGCTATAAGGTTATTGATGATAGGGGAAATGGAAGGCCAGGGGAGAGTCAGAATGGCAAGGAACAATAACGAGAATACGGAAAGGTACTTCATACTCAGAAAATGTATGATAGGGGAAGGAGAAGGAGGCTCTGGCGATGGCGAAGGAGAAGGTGGTCCTGGCGGTGGCGGCACCGGCACTGGCGAAGGAGAAGGAGGCTCTGGCGATGGCGAAGGAGAAGGTGGTCCTGGCGGTGGCGGCACCGGCACTGGCGAAGGAGAAGGAGGCGGTGGCAGTGGCGGTGGCGAAGGGGGATGAGAGGACCACAGAACAATGACTGATAGCAATAGTAGAACCGCAACCAATAGGAACCGCAAACGTGGAGAATTGAGACTTGGCAAACAGTTTGCGACAAGTGTCTTTAGTTTCTTCCATGGTCCTGTAAGAAAGAATCAATCAATCAAACATTAAAGAAATCAAAGTGTCTTCAACATATATAGTTCAAGAAATGTTAACTACATAAGTAAGAAGAAACAAAACTGTCTTCCTCATCATTGACATATATACACACACAAAAGCAGTATATATATATATGTAAATTGTTTTACCTGCGAGAAAAGACAACGAGAGATCAAAGGTAGGGAACTTGATGGCCGGGATAACGAGGGGAACCCAAAGTACGTAAGGCTCTGTTTTGTACGAATCGGTTTCTTGATTCTTTACAAAGAGTACAGCATCTGTGGTGATGTTACTTTTACATTTAGGACAGTAGAGATTATGAGTCTGTTGCTTCTTTATCTCATCCAAAGCATGATTAGGACTTCTCGCCACCTCATGTATAACTTGAGATTCATTATTGTTGGTGCCTTCTCTCTCGGTTCCTGCGTACAATACAACAAATAAGAATTTACAAGTTTTGTCTTTTAACACTTTCTTGATCCTGATAAGTCAAACGAATTTTGCTATTCATAGTTTTCTTGCTTCATCATAGATAAATGCATCCAACTATTCTCTCTGACACCAAAAACTACTAGTACTTTTTAGAAAATGTATCCAACATCTTGTTTGATATTCAAAAGCATAATCTACTTAACATTCTAGCTCAGATCTCGCAGTAAATTATCTTTAGGCTTTTATTTTCTGTTTCCATGAACATATATAAATGCACAGATTAGGAATCAAATGCTAACGTACGTAACTCTAAAATATACAGTGCTACTAATTAAATCAGGAATAAATTGAAACTCTTTTACCACAGGGAATCACAACGTAAAATATATATATATATATATATATATATATATATATATATATATATATATCTATATTAGCTCTATTACCATGCTGCATGCAAAATGCGATACGAACGTTGGGTAAGCTTAATAACAAATACATCATTTTTTGGTTATTACAAATGCATGATTTTCTTAGAAATTACCTGTGTCTTGCTCTTGCGGCGGAGATTCGGTGGAATCATCCAAGACCGTTAGTCCTTCAACCGAGGGGGGATTGACATCGTCGTCACTGTCAGCAGAATTCGAACTGTGGGTGGAATCAACGTCATCCTCATGGGGATTGGGTGTGACTTGAGCCATTTGAAGATGGTAATGAATTGATGATGACAAAGAGAGAACAAGAGGACGCTTATTTATATGCCCACGATCGACCTGCTTACTATCTCATTTTTATATTTTGCTGATCACATGTTCTCTAACGTGATTCATAGTCGTATTCTTTTAAATTAGTGACGGCTCTATGGGTGTGCCAGAGGAGTAAAAGCACAGGGTCCTCAAAAAAAATTTCAATTTTCTTTAAGATTGATGGTCCAAAATGTTCACTATTTTAAAAACTATAGTATTTAAAGGCCAGCTTTTATATATCAGCACAAGGTCTCGAATAAGTTTGAGCGGGCCAATACACCGTGAATTCCAATTAAGAACCACGAAAAGGAGCTATCAGCTAACTAAGATCTAATGCAAGAAAGATATATATTTCGTAAACCTCTTATCATTAAAAAAAGGATACATATTTCGTAGCTTTTTCATAACTAGATTAGGAAGTATAGAAATTGATTTATTTGAAGGAATTTTTAATTATATATATATATATATATATATATATATATATATATATATATATATTATAGAAAGTATGTTATGATTTTCAAAGTTAGTAATTTATAGGATCGTGCTACGTGTCAAATTTATCGATCTCATATTTTGACACATATTAAACAAAAATGTCTTTTTATTTATTTTAAAAAATATATAAGAAAAATATACGCATATATTAAATTTATCAACGTATAAAACTCAAAAAAAAAAAATTGAAAAGGTCTCTCATTTGAGATTTAAATATTGCAATTGTTAGTCTTTTTGTTAATTTTACGTAATTAACAAAAAGACCAACAATTGCAATTTTAAAAAGTCAGGCATTTTAAGTTGTTGTTTTGGTTATCCCGTACTTTAAGTCTAGTCATAAAGAATGACTTGGCCGTTGAGCACTAGTACCGGTTTTAAATCATGTTTTTAAGCAAAAACTTTTCACGTGTCTAAAGGGGCGATTGGTAAAGACTTTTTGGAAAACCGGTGATTGCCGGTTTAGTTGACTCTGTAATGTGAAGCACGTGGTTGTGTTCGGTGGAGAAACTGGTGACAATTGCTGATTTAAAAAGTCTCAAGGATGCAAAAGTCAGGCATTTTAAGTTATTGTTATATCGCAATGTCTTTATTGGGGTAGCTTTAGTGGTTGTTGTAGACTTGTACTAGTAGTGAACTAGTGATAAATAAATTTTAGAAATTTTGTTTTAATTGTTGTAAACTGTGTTGTTCTATTGATTAATGAATGAGATTTCGATACATATATATACATGATGAGGGGAGACAAATCCCCATTGGGCTAGTAAACCCTAAAGCCCAAAAGCTCACTAAGTACAATATAGGCCGTCATAAGGAGAATCTTCAAGAACATGGGCATGGGCCTTCTAGGACATGGACATGGGCCTTCTAGAATATGCATAAGGTCCACGGTTATGGAGTCCATCCAACATGTGGTTTATAACACTCCCCCTTGGATGACATAACCGTGTAGATGCCAAAGGATCTCAGTAATACGCTTGGGGATGCTGCCTCATTAAAACCTTACCAGGAAAACCCATTGGGACAAAACCATGGTTAAGGAAAAAGAGTACAGCACGTATTACTCCCCCTGTTTTGGTCATCCCTGCAAGTCCTTAAGTCTCCGCATTCCAATTTGATGCGTGAGCTTCCTCAATGTCGATGTTGGTAATGCCTTGGTAAAGAGATCGGCTGAGTTGTCGCTGGATCGAACTTGTACCACTCGAACTTCTCCATCCATTTGCAAGTCATGCGTGAAGAAGAACTTTGTTAGAATGTGCTTCGTCCGATCTCCCTTGATGTAGCCGTCCTTGAGCTGAGCGATACAGGCTGTGTTGTCTCCTCATATGATGGTCTTTGATGTTGTAGTAGCTGCGCCTTGAAGAAGGCTGCCTACGTACCCTTGGAAGGGATCAAGCCACACGTAGTTCCTATCTATTGACCATGCCATAATCTGATTTTACCTGCATCAGCAAAACAAACTAAACCAAAGCAAACTAGACCTTCTTTGGTTAGATCAGTATAGAATAAAACCCAAATAAACAAACATAGGAAGAATAGAATTTAAAATTTAACCAAACCTTCCTTCAAACCTTTCTAGTGCCTTTGGGTTGATCATGAACTAAATTTAGGCAAAGGAGGTTCACGGCAAAACATATGTCTGGTCTAGTATGGCTAGCCAAGTACATTAACGCTCCTATGGCACTAAGGTATGGCACTTCAGGATCGAGAACTTCTTCCTCATCCTTTTTTTTGGACCGAATGGATCACTATCCAATCCGAGGCTTCTCACCACCATTGGGCTGCTCAATGGGTGGGCCTGGTCCATATTGAATCTCTTGAGTACTTTTTCAGTATATGCCTTTTGATGCACAAGGATTCCATTATTCATGTACTCAAGTTGCAATCCCAAACAGAATTTTGTCTTGCCTAGGTCTTTCATCTCGAATTCTTTCTTTAGATATTTGACTGTTTGGGCGATTTCCCAAGAGGTTTCAAGGATGTTTAAATCATCCACATATACTGCTATTATTACAAACCCTTTGTTTGCAAATTTCTTTATGAAGATACATGGACTAATGGGATCATTCTTATAACCTTCTCTGACTAGGTACTCGCTTAATCTATTGTACCACATGCGTCCACTTTGTTTCAGTCCATAAAGTGATTTGTTCAGCCTTATGCAGTATTGGTCTCGAGACCCTTTCTTATCTTTATCTTTGAGCTCAATACCCTCTGGTAATCTCATATATATCATCCAGTGGACTTATATAAATATGCAGGCATTACATCCATTAGCCGCAAATCAAGTCTTTTTCTTTATATAGCCAGACTTAGCAAAATTTAAATGTCTTAGCATCCACCACAGGGGAGTATGTTTCTTCATAATCTATCCCCGGTCTTTGTGAGAATCCTTGTGCTATAAGCCGTGCCTTATATCTCACGATTTCATTATTCTCATTTATCTTCTTCACAAAGACCCATTTGTGTCCTACTGGTTTTTACATCGAATGGTGTCCTTAAGGTCGGACCAAACTCATTCCTTTTCTTAATGATTCTTAGCTCCACGTTTTATGGTCTTGTACCATTTAATCAATCAAGTCTTTGAGTGCACTCTAGTATAGACGTGGGCTCCTGATCCTCATTTATATTCATAAATTCAAGTGCTACCTTGCATGCAAAATTATCTTATGTCGACATTTCTTATATGTTCCATTATGTTCCAGACATGATATAATCGATTTGAGATTTATTATGGTCAGGACCTTTAATATTTTGCAGCTTGGCGTCCCAAGCTACATTATGTGGTACCTGTACCTTAGAGCCGGCCGGCCTTATCTCCATGTCTGGGATGGTTTCCTTAGTAACCTCGGATTCCTATTGCACCTTTCTTTGATTTTCGAGGATTTTTATCTTTGGAACCTATTGGTCTACCACGTTTCTTTCGTGTGTTAGACTCGGTAGCAATTTCATTGATTCCCTTTTGGATATCAATACGTACTGGTGCATTACAAGCTGGTATGTACGTTTTTGTAACTTTCTTTGGGTCAGCAAAGGAATCTGGCAATTGATTAGCTAGCTTTTCAAATGTATAATCTTATGGACCTCTGATTCTCATGCCAGAGTCCGAGGATCTTGCCAGTTTAAGGATGTTTGATTCCATTATATTTCTTTTATTGCTTTACCCAGCTTGTTCGTCTCTCCACCTATAGTAGGAAATTCGGATTCATTCAAATGACAATCCGCGTATCTAGCCTTAAATAGATCACCCGTAGTTGGCTCTAGATACTTAATAATGGTGGGAGAATCAAATCCAACATATATTCCCATCCTCCTTTGAGGTCCCATCTTTGTTCTATGTGGTGGAGCAATCGGTACATATACGGCACACCCGAAAGTCTTTAGATGGGATATGTCTGGCTCATGACCCATGAGTAATTGGGATGGTGAATATTTATGTTCACTAGATGGCCTTATGCGTATAAGCTCTGATGCATGTAAAACAGTGTGTCCCCAAGCGGCTACTGGAAGCTTCGACCTCATGAGTAATGGTCGAGCTATCAATTGAATTCGTTTAATGAAGGATTCCGCTAATCCATTCTGTGTATGTACATGTGCTACGGGATGTTCCACACTTACCCCCATGGACATACAGTAGTCATTAAACGCTTGGGACGTGAATTCACCGGCATTGTCTAGACGTATAGTCTTAAGCGGAAAATCTGGAAAGTGGGCTCGCAGTCTTATTATCTGGGCCAATAACCTAGCAAACACTTGGTTTCTAGTAGATAGGAGACAAACATGCGACCATCTTGTCGATGCATCAATGAGGACCATACATATATCTCCTTGTATCTTTTCCAGAAATTTTAAGGTCTCTTTATTTACCTTAGCCGGTGATGGCCTTATAATGAGTTTCCCTTGTGAACATGCTTCACACGTGAGATTCTTAGGGATAACTCTTTTCTCTTTTAGGGTGTGCCCCTTTGAATTTATCATAAGCTTACGCATCATACTATGACCCGGATGGCCAAGCCGGTCATGCCATAAAGTGAATTTCTCGATGAACTCTTTGTTCATTGCCATATTAGCTTCGATCATATCGATTTTAATATAGTAGTGACCAGTGGATAATGCGGGTATAGTCTCTAGGACTTTCTTATGTCCTTGGGTGATCTCTTTGTTCCCTTCACCCTTTGTTTCAATATGGAAACCATTCAATCTTATATCTTTGAAACTTAATAAGCTCCTCTTCGAGCTGGGTGAATATAAGGCATCGCTTAGTTCAAGATGCGTGCCATTTGGTAATAGAATATGGGCTTGGCCGTAGCCCTCAATAAGGTTTGCTATGCCCGCTAAGTGCTAATATTGGCATTTTTCATTATGAGATTTAGGAAAATATCTCTTATCTTTTGTGTGGCTCCACTATCCACCACAATTATGTTCTTGTCCTCGGCCATTTCTTATATGGACAAGAATCATGTTCTAAACATAAAATAATATAAAATAAATTCAAGCAAATAACAATCAATAAACACATAAAATGCAAAGAAAAACATAGAGGTTTTGATGTCGAAGTAAGATTTATCAACTTGATTCTTTTATGCAATCAGAAGTTTCATACTCTATTAGATCATCTTGATCATGTTCACCATCTTTATATACCAAATGGGCTTTAGGATTCTTCCCTTTTACACTCTCTTGATAGAGGTCACAACGATGTTTGGAAGTCCTACATATCTTAGCCCAATGGTTTCCCATTCCATATCTATGGTATACTCATTTGGTCGAGTGTTGTGGTTTGGAAATACCACATCGTCCTCGCCCTCGACCACGGCCGGAATTGGGTCTACATCCACGGTTAAAGTGGTTCCCACGGCCGGATGAGTTATAGTGGCTATAACCACGTCCTTTCCATCCACCACGGTCACGACCGTGTGGTCTATCACTTTAGACGTGGTTATATTCTTTGGATTCTTTCTTATCCTCTGCGGCCTTATTGGCATTAGGTAATGGGGTTAATCTATGAGGTCGTAACTCACTGTTTTTATCTGTAAGTCATTATTTTTATTTTTTTTTTCATCTAGCAATAGACTCATCCACGGACTTATAGTCCTGGATTATGAGACTCTCAATAAGATGGTGGCTAATATTGCCTTGTATCTATCTTTCTCTCTTGGCATTCTTACCTTATTAGATACATTCACCAAGTCCTTTTGACTTTAGGATAATCTTAGTATCCATTGCCCATTTTAAAATAATTATCTCCTAAGAGATTTAGGGCAGTAAAGTACAAGTTGTAATTCAACATCTACAAGGAAAAGTTTTGAGTCAAAATCATGTAATCGTTAGTGTCATGCGGTATTTGAGACCGAACCATGAATCGATTTACTTAGGGATTTGACTTTCCTCTTTTGCTTATGATTAGATTTCCTCTTTTGATTAGGATTAACTTTTCCTTTTCCTTTTAGGATTTACTTTCCTCTTTACTTTAGGATTAATTTTCCTATTTCACTTATGATTTTAGATTTTAAGATTTCCTATTTTAATTAGGATTTGGAAATTTTCTATTTCTTAAAGTTTTCCTATCTTGAATAGGATTTATGAATTTCCTAATTTAATTAGGATTTAGAGTACAATAGGATTTAGGATTTTATTTAGGTTTTCATGCTTTCTATTAGGATTTTAGGTTTTAGGGTTTTGAGATTTCTTTTAGGATTATCTTTTCTAAGTTTTCTAGGGTTCATGCAATTTTAGTTTTAGGGTGTTAAGCATGTAATCAATCAAAGGAGCAAACAATCTAACAACCTAAACAATCTCAATCAAGCCGATTTAAACTTATGGAATTTTTTGGATTAGATTCGTTTTAGGTTTTAGGTTTTTAGACCTTTAAAGTTTCGGTTATTAGCTTATGTATTTTCGTTTTGCGATTTTAGGTTTAGACAATTAAAACTTCTCTAGCAACTTAGGCGAGTTTAGCTTAAGCGATAATCAACTTTTTCTAGCAACCTAAACGAGTCAAACAATCAAGCAAACAAGCAATCGGATCAAGCAAGCAATCAAATCATACAAGCAAAGCAATCACTTAATCAATCATCATTCGTTTTAGGGGTTTCTCTTTGCTTAACTTTCAAGTTCAATTGTTGGTTCTTTAGCTTTAGGGTTTTGATGTTACCTTTCACCTTATGGGGTTGTATGGACTAGAACCGGGAGCTAAAGACCTCGGTAACTCACGCTGCTGCAACGAACCGCAAACAGTACCACGATGAACAGTACCGCGATGAACAGTGCCACGATGAACAGTACCGCGATGAACAGTGCCGCGATGAACAGTGTCGGCGATGAACAGTGTCGGCGATGAACAGTACGGCGATGAATAGTGCCGCGATTTTTAGGGTTACGGTTTTAGGGTTTTCGTTAAGAGCAAGTCGTGCTGATAACGTGTTGTAAACTGTGTTGTTCTATTGATTAATGAATGAGATTTCGATACATATATATACATGATGAGGGGAGACAAATCCCCATTGGGCTAGTAAACCCTAAAGCCCAAAAGCTCACTAAGTACAATATAGGCCGTCATAAGGAGAATCTTCAAGAACATGGGCATGGGCCTTCTAGGACATGGACATGGGCCTTCTAGAATATGCATAAGGTCCACGGTTATGGAGTTCATCCAACATGTGGTTTATAACACGACTTTTATTTTTGTCATTGTTTTATGACTTGGGGAATATTAGAGTTGACTATTAATTAACATAATATTTTGAACTTTAATTTGTTGTTGTTTTTTTTTTTTGAACGAAGTTGTGTTTATTATATTTAACAGACCAAGTCATAAACAATTTATACCTATACGACTGGGATTAGGATTATGTGGCTTCTATTTTCGTTATTGCTTGGTTTGGATTTTGGATTTTCACTAGAAGTCTTACAAAACGGGTTTTAATTAATAATTTGTTGTGTTCGGTTTGTTATCAACCATGTTTAATTATATATATTAAGATATATGACATGCATTTTCACATTTACTTCTTAATTATATAAACTTTTCTAAAGATGGGGTCTTTCTTTAATCAAATGACCGAAGATCATCGTGCATATAACTAAATGGAGTCTTGGTTTTACAGGCATTTAATATTTTCTTTTAGTTAGAAGCTTTTTTTTTTCAAAGTTTTAGTTAGTTAGAAGTTAGAAAAACTTTTTATTTATTATTTATTTCATTAAGTTTGTATATAATTAGTTAATTAGATTTGTTTGTTTGTTTGATTTTTGAGAGAAATTTCTGTTTCAAATTCACAAGATTGGAAACACAAATGATAATATATCAATTCAAAAATCTAACATCTATTTGTTAGTTTTCTAAAAATTTCTTAATTAATTATAAACGATAACATACATGTAAAATTTGATCAATATGATTTCCTTGTTTCGAGCAAAGGAACAACTAAACTCCGAATCATCAACAGTTAATATTCAATATACGATATATACATGAGTTTAACAATAGATTCATTATAAAAAACAAATTATTTTTTACCAAAACTCTAGCACTCTATTACGTCTTTTGTAATATCTTTATGAAAATTTTGTAATTTAAGAAATAAAACTTTTCCAGTAACAGTGCAATGATTTCTATGCTTTAAACTCGGTGCAAAATGTAATCATCACACAATCGCCAATCACTTTACTATGGTTTTTCAATCAGACAAAAAAAAAATCGTTCATTTTAGGGGGTGAAAAGAGAGGATAATCAATTCGTTGTCTAGTTGCTGGGCGTTTAAATTGGACGATGAACTAGCCATCCAACATCACAAGTTTTCCCACGTCCATGTTGCTCAGACACTGCATATTTTCCAGGGGTCAAGACAAGAAAAATGGGATTATATCTTTTGAAAATATCTGATATCTTTGTTTTAGATTGTATTGGATAGAAATGAAACAGCCAAAGCATTGGGAATGACCTGATGTGCTCGTAGAGCTTTGATGACATGCACCATCTTGGTGTAGAGGAGTGGCATTATTATTTTCCTCTCTAAGAATAATTGAATTCCGAAATCGAGTAGGCAATCGTTCCAAGATTTTAGCTATATATATATATATATAGCAATTGTGCCGTTGAAGATGAAGGACAAAGGAAAAAAAAGAAGAAATGAATTAGGATTTTAGCTATATATATAGCAATTGTGCCGTTGAAGATGAAGGACAAAGGAAAAAAAAGAAGAAAGGAATTAGGATTTTAGCTATATATATAGCAATTGTGCCGTTGAAGATGAAGGACAAAGGAAAAAAGAAGAAGAAAGGAATTAGGATTATTAATAGAGTGATATATAGTGGTAGTTCATCACAAGGAAATGTATACCTAAATGGCTGAGACTAGGATTAGATGAATTGATGTTCCCTGATCCTTCATATAGAAAATCGACACTTTAAGCATGAGTACTTCAAAGAAATAATATATCCATCATAAAGATATATGAGTACAATACACATACCACTGGAATAAGGATTAGATGAGTTTTCTTCGACTGGTCGACCTAAAGTAGAAAATCGATAACGTAAGTATGATTTTAAAGAAACGAGTTTCCATCATAAGAAAGATATGTACACATAACACATAATACCATTGGAGTTAGAATTAGATGAGATGTTGTCGACTGGTTCTGTAGATAGAAAATTGATAATTTAAGCATAAAGTTTTAAAAATAAAATGTCTCCAACCAGTTTGTCCAAAAAAAAAATGTCTCCAACCATAGACTGATAAATGTGTGCACATACCAGTGGAATCAGGTTGATATGAGTTGTTTTCGTGTGGTCCTACAAATAGGAAATCGATCACTCAAAGAATTTAAAGACAAAAGTGTACGTATATATTCATCATAAACCAATAAATGTATACACAAACCACTGGGACTGGGATTGGGATAAGATGGATTGTTTTCGACTGGTATTACTACAGATAGAAAATCGAGCGAGCATATAAGAAATAGTTCAAAGAAAAAATTGCATCCATCATAAAGAAGTGTGTCTGCACATACCACTGTGATTAGGACTCGATGGGTTGCTTTCGACTGATCCTACAGATAAAAAAACCGGTCACTCAGCACTCAAAGAAACAAAGTATCTCATCATCATATATAACAATAATACATGTGTACGTATGTAATACCTGTGGGAGAACTTGAAAGGAACTTGAAGGGGGTGAAGATAGGGATCCAGAGCACGAAAGGTTTTTGGTTGTCGGGAGAAAAATCATCTCCTTTTTCAACGAGTTGAGCAGTTTTGGTGATGTTACAAGTACACTTAGGGCAATATAGATCATGAGTCTCCTGCTTACGTATCTCTTCCATAGCCTTCTCGGGAGATCGACTTTTCGAGCTCTCTTCATGATCATTTTGAGATCCATTAATGTTTGTATTACAAGAATAACTAAATGGATTCAAGTCTCTATCGATCAAGAACAATTAAAGCAAATTTTTAATTAGTTTTCGCCAAAATCTTGATTCCCATAACTAAAAAGAAATGTGATACATTTTTTTTGTTTTTTGATAACGAGTACATTTATCTACCATATATGGGAGTGCCATTTCAATGGAATTCTCTAACACTAAATAATTAACACTATAATTCTATGTAAGAACAATATACATCCTAACAATAACATCAATGACCTAAATAACAATAAAAAGAATGATTAGAAACGTACCATATAGACCATCGCCATCGCCAAGCTCTTGGCGTTTGGGCATGGTGGATTCCATTGAAGTTGAACCTGGTGTTAATGGTGATCACAATGGGAGAACCAGAGAACAATTATATTTTTTATTCTTGCCAAATTTGATGAGATCATATATATATATATATATATATATATATATATATATCAACCATGCGTTTTTTTATATTAAAATCGTACTATTGAACCCACCATAAGATTAAATAAAGAACCATGGAAAGGCTAAATAATGACCGACTCTTATTCTTCAAATAAACATTATGATCTTATGACTTTTTATCTTCATTGTTTATGACTTCGAAAATGTTAATTACAATTGACTAATAGCATAGCTAGTATTCTGAATTTTAGTATTTCATTTTTGTTTTGACATTCAAATAATTAATCTTTTTTTTTACCGTTAGCAAGACATAAACCTTTCATTGTGATATATGTATCTAGTCTCCGAATCAGAAGTATCGAAGCAGTCTCTTAATATGAAGTTAGCTTAGGAATATGAAATTAAGAGAAATCCAGTGGTAATGTGGCATACATGACTTTGATCAGTAAGCTACAATTTCATACTCCCTCCGTATTTGAATAAATGTCGTTCTAGCCTTTTTTCTGTGTTTTTAATTAGTTATCATTTTAACAATTTTTGCATAAAATTTCCTAAATTACCCCCAATTAATTGATTATAATCAGTGTTCTAAAAAGCGGTCTAGGCGGTCGCCTAGGCCCCGACTAGGCGCTAGACTCACATGCGACGCCTAGATAACCGCATTGACCGCCTAAAATTACATAGATCTTGTTTAATGTATTTTTTCAATTTTAATTAGAGTTTTATTTATATATATAGTTATAAATATTCATATATTGTTTAATATAAATATAAATAAATATTTTATCTAATTTTTAGTTTTATATAGATATTTTATATAACTTTTATATATAATATCATATTGATAATGTTTTATGTTATAAACGTCTAAACCGCCTAAAAAATCGTCTAGGCCCCGATTAGGCGTTCTAGGCGCTAGGCACTGGGTCACCGCCCGCTTAGCGCCTAGTGCTTTCTTGAACACTGATTATAATTAATCAGTCTAAATTACCAAAACTACAGATACCAAAAATATAATTGTAAATAATCGTTTCTCATAAGGTTAGTTTTGTAATTCTGTGCCTTTTCTTAATTCACCCAAAAACAGTTGAAACGACATTTTTTCAAATACAGAGGCAGTATTGATTATGGTTGGACGGAAGGACTTGTACTTGAAAGCCTTTTAAGTTCTGTTAATATTGGGCTTAGAGGCCCATGAGCTTAACCGGCTACGAAATTCTTTATTTCTATTTAATCACGGACGTACCAATAATATGCTACTCTCAACACGTGGCGGTAGTACAGCACTCCAGTACTGGGGATGGAAGAAGGATGAACTAACTTTTCCACGTGTCATATTTTCGTTACGCGATCTATGAAAGCTGGGGTATTCTTGTAAATATAAATTATCCTCAGGGTACTTTCACCAAGGTAATCGTTATTCTGCTTCCGTTTTTATCTTTTTCCGGTAAATTTCTGCTCTAACCTTTTTTTTTTTCATCGTTTTGGTTTCGCCAATAATGGAACTCTTCTTCCACCATTTTCCCGGAAAGTCTCGCAATCGAGAAGATGGATCTCTAGACAGATAAACCTAAAATCACTCAAATCTCTGCTCTTCTTCCGATTTCAGATCGGATCAAATTTGTATCTAGCTACACTGTTCTCTTTTTTTTTTTTTCCGATTAATTCTGATCGGATTTTGTTTTTGCTCGATTTCGAATTAGGAGATCGATCGATAGAATGATTTCGAATCCACGTCTGTTGTTCTACTCCTGCATTGCGAAAGGAACAGTGATTCTCGCTGAGTTTGCTTCAAAGGAAGAGCCAGGAATCGAAGATCTAGCTTTGAGATGCATTGAGAACATACCTCCACATCATTCGATGATCTCTCACACAGTCCATAAAAGAACCTACGCTTTGATCATCGACGGATTGTTTTCATATTTCGCGATTTTAGACGAGGTCGTAGCGAAATCGGAGTCTATATGGCTCTTCAATCGATTGAAATCAGCTACAGAGTCTCTAATGGAAGACGGATCTACGGCGGATTCGTTGGATAATCCGACTCAACACTGTCTCCAATCAAAGCTTGATCCAATTTTCGCTGAGATCGCTAATGGTGGTGGTAATACTAATAATAACAAGGATTTGGAATTGGAGTTAGGTATGGCTGGATCACCGAGGAGTATAACGAGGGAGATTAAGAATAATCAAAGTTTGGATTCGTCGAGAGGACGAAAAGGCGGTGCGTTGATGCCGCTTTTAGGAAAGCCATTGAGGGTGTTGAAGAACAAGAAGAGATTGCAGACGGAGGGGAAAAGTGAAGGGAATTGGAATGAGAAGAAGATGGATTTAGGGGGAGGTAAGGGAGTGAGAAATGGTTTGATGATTCATGATCATCATAGACAAAAGGCAAAACAGATATGGAGGAAACATGTGTGGATTGTTTTGATGTTTGATCTCTGTATCTGTGTTGTTCTCTTTGGAATCTGGCTTTGGGTTTGTCAAGGGTTTCAATGCATGGAAGGGTAATTATCATCAAATCTTTGATCATTAAAGTTATGTGGTTGAATGTTTTTCAAAATCCGAGGTGTTGTTTCCAGGGTTTAAAAGAAAGCCTGGTTTACACGTTTGTGATGATGTTGTTATTGTGTTTTTTTGAAGTTGTTCTTCATGTGGTAAAAGAAATTAAGAAAGTGTTTGTAAATCTCTTTTGTAATATTATCTCTTTTCGTTTTCTTTAAATGTTTTGGTTACGAGTTTTGTTAGGCGAAGATGGCTTATGCGGTTCAAATTTTACAAGACCACTCACTCTTATTTTTGTAGTTCTTATTAGAAGACCAATCGCTAACGACTCTTCTTTTTGGTTGGCCAGTGACTATCTTTTCCAAAAAAATTCCACTCACTCTTCTTTTCCAAATTAATACATAAAATTATCTTTAAAACAAAATATTTGTCAAATGTAAATTTTAACTACATTAGCATTTTTTTTGTTTGCAAAAGAGAAAAAATCTCAATCCACCATTTAAATTATTTTTAGAAATTCATATTTAATATGTAGAGATGTTTGGTATTTTAGAAATGAAATACTATTTAATTACAGATATTTGGAAATGAATGTCGGTCACATCACAAGGAACTACGAAAAAGAGATATTTCTTGAATCTTCTTCTTCACATATATTTGTCACATATAGAAAAAGATCGATCACTTACGCTACTTAACGGTCAAGACAACGATCAAACCCTTCATTTTTTTTTTTTTTCTTTCAATTATTTATTCTCCTACTTTATTTATTAATATTTATTCTCCTACACTCAAACGAAAGGAGCAAAATCAAAATGAAACATTTCTCTCTACTTTTCATTTTGCTGGTCATCCTCTTGGCAACAAGCTACAGTGATGCCTTTACCAGAAACAATTTTCCAAAGGATTTCCTCTTCGGAGCCGCCACTTCTGCTTATCAGGTTCGACTCTGCTTCTCTGTTCTTCACGTATTTTGTTTTGTCTATAAAATAAAATTTTTTATTTTTCTATGTTGGGAATTTGTGGAAATAGTGGGAAGGAGCTGTTGATGAAGACGGAAGAACTCCTAGCGTCTGGGATACTTTCTCTCACTCTTGTAAGTATATTTTTAATGTGGGTTTCTCTTTTTGCGAACAAATATACGAATAGATAAATTGAACATAAATTCTAGGAATTAATAAAGATTCATGTAATTTTTTGTAGTTAATAATCATAGGTTGTTGATCAAAAAATTAAAGTATGTTCATATCATAAGGTTACTCTGTGGTTCAATTCAATTGGCGTTTTATATTTCGAAATTTTGTGTCATTATTAGGGGTTTTATAGGAGAATTTCTCATAGATTCTTGTTCAAAACTTGCAGACAATAAAGGTAATGGAGATATAACATCTGATGGGTATCACAAATACAAGGTTCCTCTCTCTTCTTTGCGTTTACTTTTTCGAAGAAGTTATCGTAAGTCTCTGGCTCTGTTTTCTCAATGTTGTTGTTACTTTGGCAGGAAGATGTTAAGCTGATGGCAGAAATGGGCTTAGAATCATTCAGATTCTCTATCTCCTGGTCAAGACTAATACCTAGTAACACCTCTTCCTGGTTTCTTTATTTGCAAGTAACGATGCTGTTGTTTCTGACCTCTTAAACCCTTTTGTCTTTGTGACAGATGGAAGAGGACTCATCAACCCCAAAGGTCTATTGTTTTACAAGAACCTCATCAAAGAACTAAAAATCCATGGTGAGGTTTTGTCTTTATACTTTAAATCGCAACTAAAGCCAATTCATAGCTTCTAACTGAAAATTTTGACAAAACTATTAACAGGAATCAAACCACACGTTACACTTTACCACTATGATCTTCCTCAGTGTCTTGAAGACGAGTACGGAGGATGGATCAACCGCAAAATCATGTAAAGGATAAAGAAAAGATGTTGATTTAGCAAAGTCATTTAATTTTTTGAATATGAATTGTAAATTAAAAAATTGTTGTTTGTTTTTTATATTGCAGAGAAGACTTCACTGCTTTTGCAGATGCATGCTTCAGAGAGTTTGGGGAGGATGTGAAGTTATGGACTACCATAAACGAAGCTACAATTTTCGCCATTGGTTCTTATGACCAAGGAATCTCGCCGCCTGGACGTTGTTCTCCTAACAAATTCATCAATTGTACTACTGGAAATTCTTCTACAGAACCATATCTTGCAGGCCATAACATATTGCTAGCTCATGCCTCTGCTTCAAAATTGTATAAACTAAAGTACAAGGTATGTACATATAGATATATCTTTTTCGCTCTTAAAACCCGAAACTCAACTGCGTATATGATCATAGTTCATATGATGGTGCAGAGTAAGCAGAGAGGATCCATAGGGCTTAGTATATTTGCATTCGGGTTATCTCCCTATACAAACTCCAAGGAGGATGAAATCGCAACTCAAAGAGCTAAAGCTTTCTTCTATGGCTGGTGAGAAAAAAACTTTCTTTCTTTCTTTCAATAACTTGAAGACAAAATCTGAAGACTAATTAAATTGATAATTCAGGATGTTGAAGCCTTTGGTATTTGGAGACTATCCGGATGAAATGAAGAGAACCGTGGGATCGAGATTACCGGTGTTCTCAGAGGAAGAGTCAGAGCAAGTTAAAGGATCATCTGACTTTATAGGAATTATTCACTACTTAACATTATATGTCACAAACCAACCCTCACCTTCTATCTTTCCCAGCATGAGTGAAGGCTTCTATAAAGACATGGGCGTGTATATGATTTGTAAGATTAGTTTCTTTTCATCATCAACCAATATAAAACATTTCTCAACTGTTTTAACTAATATTTCTTCTTCTTTGGACAGCCGCTGGGAATTCTTCATTTCTTGCGGTAAGGTCCTGCAAATCTGCATAACACATTTTTATTTTATGCCAAAAGCTCTTGTTTGATCTTCTTCAATCTGGAGATTTTCCTAATTCAATTGCTTTTCTTGAAGTGGGAGGCTACTCCTTGGGGTCTTGAAGGTATTCTTGAGTATATAAAGCAGAGCTATAACAATCCTCCAATCTACATTCTAGAAAATGGTAAACTTCACTCTATTTTTTCTGCTTGAAAGCACACTTTCTTGTTCTTAAGTTCTTCAAACTGCAATCTTTTTATTTAAAATACAGGTATGCCGATGGGACGCGTTTCGACATTACAAGACACACAAAGAATTGAATTCATTCAAGCTTACATTGGTGCTGTGCTCAACGCCATCAAGTATGATTCTCCTTCTGCATCTCTTAGTCCTCATATTACTAATACATTAGGATTCATTGGTATAATTCCACTTTTGCTTACTGATCAGGAATGGATCGGACACGAGAGGTTACTTTGTATGGTCGATGATTGATTTGTATGAGTTATTGACTGGATATACGACCAGCTTCGGAATGTACTATGTGAATTTCAGCGATCCTGGTCGCAAGAGGACTCCAAAGCTCTCTGCTTCTTGGTACACTGGTTTTCTCAATGGTACAATTGATGTTTCTTCTCAAGATACTATTCAGTTGCAGAGAAACATCTCTGGCTCTTCTTCATTGTAATGTATTTAACCAAAGGATCCTTGTTTGGTTTATTTCATCTATACTTTTGAGACCATTAAGTGTAGCATAGATTCTCGAAGATAGTAAACTAGATAATGACACTGGGACACAACCCACAAAAGTGACAAAGACATTAAGAACTTAAATTTCTAGTACATAGAGTGTCAAGAAGGAGATGATGTTGTAAAGTATGTTTCTTATTGAATACGTAAGAGAGGCAATGCCTTTTATACAACATAGTGATTTAACCTAGTATAGCTATACAAACTAAGTGGGCTTAGAGGCCTCACAGCCCAATATAGAGTTACATTTGGAAATGTATGTCGGTCACATCACAAGGAGGAAAGACATTTCACCGAAAAAAGAAGAAGATTTTTCTAGTCTTCTTCACATGTATATTTGTCGCGTTTTGCGAGTGGAAGAAGAAGGAATATAAAAGATCGGTCACTTGATATGTACTTTTCTTTTTAATGGTCCAAGAAAACCAGTAAACCCTTCAATTATTTATTCTCTTGAACTCATGATGAGACTAAAGGAGGAAAATGAAAATGAAACCTTTGTCTCTGTTTTCCAATTTTCTGGTCATCGTTTTGACAACAAGCTAAAGTGATAAAGTGGGAATCGGGCCTTACGTTAAGAAAGATTTGGGCCTTTTTATAGTGATTGGTCGCTCACATCATCATGGTGAGGACAAATTTATAATTGGTACTGTAAATTTGTAGTTGTAGTTTACATAATTTAAGTGTCATAGCATAGGTAGTTAAAAACACTAAAATAATTGTTAGTTACAGCCAAACATTTTTACATATATATAGATAAATGATATATATTTCAACAAAGGTTTGGGTGCCGATCATTCCATGGTTGAGTGGCGTGTTTAACTACATGACCAAATCTTTTATTAGAGCGTCGTCCATTGCGGTAAGACCGGTAAACACACCTTTGTTTATTAACTTGGCTTCCCCGTAAAGTAAGCAACAGTGACACATCTTTGTATATTCTTCGATCATCAGTGAATATTTTTTTTTTTTAATGAATGTAAAATTTATTCACCAAAAAAACCTGGGTTACAACATGTGTAGCTTTTCAGAAAGTGTTTTTAGAGCTATAGATGCAAGAACTAATTTCGAGTAGCAAACCAAAACATGAGGATATCCTCATACTTTTTATCGCCGGAGTTGCGAAGAATACTTAGCCTGTTCCGAATGGTTTTGTCAATGTGTTTGCTGAGTTTCTGATACGTCGTGGGCTCTTCACCGTGTCGGCGGTTGTTACGCTCCCTCCACAATGAATGAACCGTTGCTTGAAGAGTGTAACGCAAGAGAAGCTGTGATCGATGATCTAGTGTTTCATGTGTAGCTAGCTGACCAAGCTGATTCCAATCTGTGGTGTATTTATTTTGCAGAATGCCTTTCATGAGCTTTCCCCAAACTTGCTTAGAGTAACGACAATGGAAAAAAAGGTGGTTCCTTGTCTCCATCGGAGCTTGACATAGTACACATGCAGTGTTCGGCTGTTGATTCCACTTCATCATACGGTCACCCGTGGCTAAACGATTATGCATAGCGAGCCATGTGATGAAAGCATATTTCGTTGTAGCTTGTGGAAACCAGACACCTTTAGCCCATTCACATTTTGGTCGCTCTTCTCTAATGAGCATCCATGTCTCACGGGTTGAAAAACACTTCTTAAAACCTGATCTCCACTTCCACATATGGACGTCTTCCTCATCAATTTTCCTAGCCTCTCTGGTTGCACTTATTTCAGCCTCTATATGGTTCAGCTTTGCATCCCGATGCCTCCTGCTTCGATGGCTGTTCATAACTTCTTCCATAGTCGCTGTTCTTGCAATCCCGAGATCAATGTAACCTCTGTTCCCAAGAACATCAACCAGAACTCCCTGTGTAGACCAATTGTCTATTAAATTAAAATTTTATGATTTCTACCATGAAATCTAATTCCCAAGATCATCTAGATTCAATTTAATTCAACCACACACTTTCTTGTAGAAGAAGAAAGACTAACCTTGATCCATTGCTTAATTAGGCTTGTAATGGAATCAATTCACCAATTGATTTCTTCTCCCCTTTGTCCTTGTTCCTTTCACGTGATCTTTGATGGAGAAGATCACTAACCCTTCACTTGATATTTTTTATGTCTAGTTATTGTTCTGTTTTTGTTTCTCTCGTGACGAGAACAAAAACGTAACCTTTGACGTGTTTAACACCACATATATATACATGTATATAGCATCTACCAAGGGTTGTATTGGTTCGTAATAACCACCACTTTAATAATGCATGAACATAACATATACATGTATATATATTACTTATAAAATATAATTAAGGCAAGGGAAGAGGGTTATCAATACACCCGAATTCTAATTCTTTAATCGAAACCGATCCATCACGGTATCGTCTTTAATATTAGAATCTTTAACTTTAATATAAACTTGAACTTTATAATTAAACCGAAAGACACATAGGCCACATAGAATAAAATATTCTTACATTCTCCCACTTGGCCTTTGTGTCAAGTTAATGGTTTAATAACTTTAATGCGCGCTTTAACATCAAGTTTATTAGATCTTTAATTACTTAAATTAAAATTAAAATTGATTGAATCATGGCGGTTACACATCATTGAACGACATGCTCCCTTCCATGTATCACAAACCAATTCTAACTTTATAATTTCCTTACAATGAGAGAAACCTTAATTCTCAAAATAACTATATGTTATCCATAAACCTTAAGTGTATACACATACTTTAACGATAACATACTTAATAAATCCAGAAACGTTACTTTAAGTGAATTCATAGTATCATACATAAAACGAGCATACTACAATCAATATAGCAAGGCTTTGTCTATAATCCCCATACGCTCTACATGGCCAATGAACGCCTTGGGTGGTAGACCTTTAGTTAACGGATCCGCAACCATCATGTCCGTCCTAATATGCTCAAATGAAACTCTACGTTTCTGCACTTCTTCTTTTACGGACAAGTACTTTAACTCCATGTGTTTAGCACCCTTCGAGTACTTGTCATTCTTAGAGAAGAATACAGCTGCAGAATTATCACAATAAATTCTCAGCGGCTTCTCTATGGAGTCGATAATCCGAAGTCCTGAGATAAAGTTCCGCAACCACAATGCGTGAATTGTGGCCTCAAAGCATGCCACAAATTCGGCCTCCATAGTGGAAGTAGCAATGACAGACTGCTTCCCACTTTTCCAAGATACTGCTCCCCCAGCTAATAGGAACAAGTAGCCAAACGTCGATTTCCTGCTATCGACGCATCCAGCATAGTCTGAATCTGAATATCCAATAACCTCAAGGTTATCGGATCTCCTGTATGTAAGCATGAGCTCTTTGGTGCCTTGCAAGTACCTGAGAACTTTCTTTGCAGCTTTCCAGTGATCCATTCCGGGATTACTTTGATATCGACCCAACATACCAACCGCAAAGCTTATATCTGGTCGAGTACATGTCTGAACGTAGTTCAAACTCCCAACCACTGATGCATAGGGAATTCTTTCCATTTCCTTACGCTCCAATTCATTTCTTGGACATTGCATTTTACTGAACTTGTCCCCTTTCTGAATTGGTGTTTTTCCAGCAGAGCATTCATCCATTCTATATCTCTCTAAGATCTTTTTGATGTATCCTTTCTGAGACAAACTTAACAATCCTTATGATCTCTCTCGAATAATTTCTATTCCGATCACATAAGATGCCTCACCCATATCTTTCATTTCAAAGTTCTTAGAGAGATATTTCTTAATATCATGTAACATACCCATGTCATTAGCAGCAAGCAAAATATCATCAACATATAGGACTAAAATTACAAACTTGCTCCCACTGACCTTAATGTAGATGCATCGATCAACAATGACCTCTACAAATCCATATGACGTAATGGTATCATTAAACTTTAAATACCATTGTCGAGAAGCTTGTTTTAGTCCATATATCGACTTTTTCAGCTTACACACCAAATGTTCATTTCTTGTGGCCACAAACCCTTCAGGTTGGTCCATATATACTTCCTCCTCAAGCTCTCCATTTAGAAAGGCGGTTTTCACATCCATTTGGTGAAGCTCAAGATCATAATGAGCCACCAAACCCAAAACAATTCTAAGAGAATCCTTCTTTGAAACTGGAGAGAAGGTCTCTTTATAGTCAATACCATCCTTTTGGGTGAAACCCTTAGCAACAAGGCGAGCCTTGTATCTTTCAATGTTACCTTTCGAGTCGCGCTTAGTCTTAAAGACCCATTTAGAACCAACGGTCTTGAAACCGTTAGGCAACTCTACTAAGTCCCAAACATTGTTATCACCCATAGATTTTATTTCTTCTTTTGCGGCAATTGACCATTTTTCAGAATTGTCACTTTCCATGGCTTTTCGGAATGTGATCGGGTCTTCATCAAGGCTTATGTCACATTCACTTTCAATAGCATAAACCACATAATCATTTGAAATAGCAGATCTTCTTTCCCTTCCAGATCGCCTTAATGGTTCTTGTGGTACACTATGATTCTCTTCTTGAATAGTGACAGGTTCATTAATTGTCCCTTCATCTAGTGGGGTTGGTACATCATCATGTTGTTCTATTGTGTCATTTGACTGTACTGAAACAATAGGAACAACAACCTTAGATGGAACATCAGGTGAAGAAACTTCAACCTGAATTTCTTGAATGTCCACCTTTCTTGGTTCACCACTCCCACTAGTTTGACCATTCTCAATGAACCTAGCATTCCCCGTTTCAACTATTCTCGTACTATGGTTAGGGCAATAAAATGTATACCCCTTTGATTTTTCAGGATAGCCAATGAAGAATCCACTGACAGTCCTAGAATCAAGTTTCTTTTCATGTGGGTTATATGGCTTTACTTCTGCTGGACATCCCCAAACACGTAAATGTCTTAAACTAGGTTTCCTTCCCGTCCACAGTTCAAAAGGAGTCTTAGGAACTGCCTTACTAGGAACCCGGTTTAAGACATACGTTGCAGTCTTTAATGCATATATCCACAATGAAAGGGGTAAAGAACTAATACTTAACATGCTCCTAACCATATCCATTAATGTACGATTCCGCCTCTCAGCTACACCATTCTGCTGAGGAGTACCAGGCATTGTATATTGAGCACAAATGCCTCTACTCTCAAGTAGCTTTGCAAATGGACCTGGACATTGTCCACTTTCAGTGAATTTACCATAAAACTCACCACCTCTATCAGATCTCACTACTTTTACTTTTCTATCTAATTGCCTTTCAACCTCATCAATGAACACCTCTAAGATATTCACCGATTTAGACTTTTCATGTAGTAGATAAGTAAATCCATAACGTGAGTAATCATCAATAAAGGTGATGAAGTATTTTTCACCACTCCAAGACGGAGCATCGAATGGGCCACATATATCGGTGTGTATTAACTCAAGAAGTTGAGTACTTCTTGTGGCTGGTTTCTTTACAATGTGTTTAGTCTGTTTTCCTTTAATACAGTCTATACACACATTTAGATCACTAAAATCCAACTGAGGAAGAATGTCATTCTTTACCAACCTCATAATCCTTTCTTTGGAAATGTGACCTAATCTTTGATGCCACAAGAAAGCTGAACTTTCATTAGATTCACTACGCTTAATGCCTTGACTTTCAATATTAAACAAGGATTCAGAAAATTTTGCATCAAGATTAAACCGATAAAGTGAATCAAACAAAGTACCACTTCCATAAAGGTAATCATTTCGGTACAATGAGAAAACACCATGTCCAATCTTAAAAACAAAACCTAAATTGTCCAATCTACTTACGGAAACAAGATTTCTAGAACATTCAGGTACATAGAGACACCCTTCAAGATCTACATGACAACCAGTGTCCAAGATCAACCTATAAGTCCCAATGCCTTCGATTCTTGCCTTCATTCTGTTTCCCATGAACAAGTATTGATCAGCCCCTCTTATGGGCTGAATCGAACTGAATCCCTGTTCAATATGAGACACATGAGTAGTCGCACCAGAATCTAACCACCAAGTATTATTAGGCACTTCGATAAGATTCAATTCAGAGCAAACATAAATATGTTGTGTACCTTTCTTATCGAACCAAGCCTTTCTCTTCGGACAATCTTTCTTGAAGTGTCCCATTTTCTTGCAAAAGAAACACTTCCTTTCCTTATGGATTTGACTTTCAGGCCCTTTCACAAAAGTCTTGTCCATCTTCTTATCCTTAATACTTGGTTTTTCCTTTCTGCTGCTGGCACTTCCAAGACCCACGAGATGAGCAACTTGATCCTTCATCTTCTTTAATCTCCCCTCCTCTTGAACCAACATAGCCTTTAACTCCTGATAGTTCCATTTATCCTTAATGGTGTTGTAATTCACCTGGAACTGGCTAAACTCAAGAGGTAGAGAGTTCATGATGAATTGAACCAAAAAAAACTCATTAACTTCCATTCCCAAGGTCGTTAACTTGGATGCCAAGTTAGACATGTGTGTCACATGATCATGGATTGGCTGAGACCAGTCAAACTTTTTCGTAGTAAGCTCACTCATGAGCCCTCCTACAATCGACTTGTCAGCCAAATCCGATTGTGAACACTCCTTAATTTTCTTAATGAATTCCCTCGCTTTTTCTGTCTTAGGCATAGATGGCTTAACACTTTCCGCCATCGTCATCCTCATGAGATTCAAACTCAACCTGTTAGATCGCTCCCAAGACTCATAGCGAGACTTTTCAGTTTCAGAGCTCTCTTCTGTAATGGCTGAGGGTTCCTCATCCGTGAAGATTGCATGGTCCAATGTCATTACACCCAGTGTGAACCGGATCTGTTCAGACCACTCCTCATAATTCAGCCCATTAAACTTCACGACAGAGTTAGCAGATGCAAACAAATTTGATGAAGCTGCAAACATTTCAACATGCTTCCCTATTAGTGCTTTGACACTTTTATACAGATTCTAAGGCCATAAATAATTTCAAAGCATGTATTCAAGCAACCTTTGGGCAATACTTAAATACTAGCAGTTTTAAAGATGCTAAATTTTATACTTTTATAATTAATCAAATCACACATATAATCAAATAAACATGTTACCTTTGGATATACATATTATTGACTATATTGGAAATGATTAATTCTTTTCTTATTATTAACTATCTCCAATGATCCACCTTTGGGTTATCTCCAAGGATATAGATAATAAAATAATTGATCAATCAAAACTTTAATGTCATTTTTAGCATCTCTTTAATCATGATCAATTATAAATCTTTAAATTTTATTTTAATATCTATATGTAATATAACAAGGCCACTTTGGTGACTAACAAGTTATATACAATATAAACATTAAAATTCTAATGGGTATAACTATTTTATATTGTGTTAGTATTTCATAATACAATTACCCTTTAATAAAATGCAGCGGAAGCATTTTAGATACACGATATAACGTGTATATACATAACATTATTATGCAATCAAACAATAATCCTTTCTACGGTACTGCATATTTTCAATATTTTACAATCGTGACTTTTCATATGCAGTAACCATCAACAAGACAAAACAGAGACTTTGACTTTTGAATATGGTTCTACGTGAATCAACATGCACACACATCTCCTCATGCACACACATTATTCAACGTGAATTTAAATAGATATTTAATTACTATATTCATTCACGAGACATATGTATAGACGACGATTAGGAAAATGTGACGGTTACTTATATGTGCCAAATACGATTACGATGATGAACCACACACCAAAATTCCAGAATCTAAAGCGAACCTTTAAACATTCGTTCATGGTGCCGTACGTTTAAACATGATGAATTAAACAAATCTAGAAAAGCTCTGATACCAAATATTAAATTAAAATTTTATGATTTCTACCATGAAATCTAATTCCCAAGATCATCTAGATTCAATTTAATTCAACCACACACTTTCTTGTAGAAGAAGAAAGACTAACCTTGATCCATTGCTTAATTAGGCTTGTAATGGAATCAATTCACCAATTGATTTCTTCTCCCCTTTGTCCTTGTTCCTTTCACGTGATCTTTGATGGAGAAGATCACTAACCCTTCACTTGATATTTTTTATGTCTAGTTATTGTTCTGTTTTTGTTTCTCTCGTGACGAGAACAAAAACGTAACCTTTGACGTGTTTAACACCACATATATATACATGTATATAGCATCTACCAAGGGTTGTATTGGTTCGTAATAACCACCACTTTAATAATGCATGAACATAACATATACATGTATATATATTACTTATAAAATATAATTAAGGCAAGGGAAGAGGGTTATCAATACACCCGAATTCTAATTCTTTAATCGAAACCGATCTATCACGGTATCGTCTTTAATATTAGAATCTTTAACTTTAATATAAACTTGAACTTTATAATTAAACCGAAAGACACATAGGCCACATAGAATAAAATATTCTTACATTGTCATGCCAAAATGATGTGTTTTTTCCATTCTTTATCAGCTTATGATGAAAACCCTTTGCCGTTTCTCGCACCTTCAGGAGCTTCCTCCACATCCAAGAACCCTGGTTACTCCCTCCTCTCATTGCCCAGAAACATTTGTTGCGGATTAGATACGTTTGCACCCATTGTGCCCAGAGCGACGTCTTTCAAGGAGACGCCATATTAGTTTGAGATGTCAGTGAATATATTACCAAAGTCACTTACGACCTTTTAAAACTTTATCATGCATATTGGTTCACTAATAACAAAATTTTACTCTTTTTCGTAGTTGTTTTAATTTGCAGATCCACCAACTCCTAAAAGGATAATTCCGTGTCCAAACTAAACAAGACATCCAAAACTTGAAAAACTACACTACATACTAGTCCCCGGTTAATTTCACTTACCAAAGTTCATATTTCTAAAGAAGATTATGGGTCGTAATAATTAGTTTGGTTTAATCGAAAAAGTCAATTCTTATACTTTATATATTTGATGTTTAGTGAAGTTTGTAACTGATTATTCTTTCATTTTCAATTGATTATCTTATTTTTTACAATTCTTGGAGAGAAGAAATTAATCGAATAAATTTATTTTTAAAAAAAAATATTTCTTGGTCTCTTCAAATAAATCAAGCCTTTGATAACGACTATACGGAGCACTTTACACATCATCAATACGATAATTTATCCAACTAAAAGTTCTGCTAATTAGACCATATGCATGGACTATAGATACATTACATGAACTTGAATGGGAGCTCACAAGGATAACATGATCCGCCTAATATCTTCTAAATCTGTTTAGTCTTACCGCCCTTTTTCCATGCATAAATCATTTCATCATTCTCATACATATCTCATGCAACGACAAGAACAGCCTTTGACCTTTAAAGCAGCACATTCCTCGCTTTCACCAAAGGTTATTTCGTTTGCCTTGTTTTGCAATACAAGTGGACAATTCAGATTTAGAGTGGGAATTATACTTGATCATCAACTACGGTCCACAACATATTTAATAATTAGACCCACCTCTGTTTAGTTTAAAGATTAAACAAACTTGTATAATAATTGAGATTTGAGAGGACTAAGATATTTTCTTTTTGTCGACGAACAGAAGGACTTCTTCAGGATTTATGGTTACATATTATTTATTGTTACCACTATAGCAGCTCTGGTTTTCAGTGTTCTTTTTAATATTTATTTATATATATATAATAACAATTAATAATGGTATTATTTATAGGCAATAAAGGCTCGACGTGAAATTTGAAAGGACCCAACGTTAGGAAAATCGTAATGTAGGACCACGCCCACCCACTTTGTTTATAATTTTCTTCTCTTCTTTGGGATCTCTCTCGTGAATAAGAAGCGCCACAAGGAGCGTTTTTGTTTATTTTTCTATCCTAACTTCATAAAATACTTACACTTCCTCACATTATTCATCCTCTCGTTTCCTTTTTTTATTCTTGTGTTCATATAATTCGAACCAAAAAAAAAAGAAAATTACCTTTTCTATCTATTTAAATCCCAAACAATTTCATATAACGTCAAAGAAAGTTTCTTATTCAGAAAAAAAAAAAGCTATGGATTTTGAATTTGATGATCAAGAACGGTTTTGTGCGACTCCTAAGCTTCCTCTGTTCTCAAAACCATTGAGCAGAGCTTGTGAGACTCCTGGCCTAGCGACACCGCCTGTGAACATCGCTGGATCGGTCCCTTTTCTATGGGAGGAAGCCCCGGGAAAGCCTCGCGTTTCTGATGAGAACAAACCGCCGGCTTCCAAGCAGAACGCCGAAGGAGGAGGAGGAGTCGTGCGATGCCTTGAGCTTCCGCCGAGGCTGTTTTTTCCAGCCGAGAATGAGCCATCTCCGACCACAGTTCTTGATGGTCCTTACGTTATACCTCGTCGGTCTCTATCGGTGATAAGGAGAAGCGACGGAGCCTCTGAGGGTAGATTCGACTTTTCACGTTCCACTAACGGCCGCTGCTTCGACCGCGACGGCGGCGGCGGCATAACGGTGAAGATTAGTAGAGTTAAAAGAAAAGGAAGCCTCTTGAATCTTTCTCATTCATCGCAATTCTTGGTATGTTTTGGAGCTAATTATAACTCATCACCTTCTCTGTTCTACAATCTCGTTTTTAGTTGTCTAATTAATTATTTCGTGTTCAAAAAAAAAGAAAAGAAAAAAGTTGTCAAATTGCATTCTTTTACGTTATTCAAAATCCCAACCGTTCTATAAAAAAAATTCAAACTTTCTTTAATTATTTCTCATTCAAAACAAAATTTCAACATTTTTGGGATTGGAATAAATGTCCTTTTAAAGTAAAAACTTTTGGTCTTCCCTTCAAAAGTCTTTGGTTACTTTCTATGTAGTATGGTTTTTTTTTAATATACTTATTATTTTGATTACATAATAATAAAATGCAGGCAAGGGTTTACCAAGGATTTAAGCAAGCGATTCCATGGAGGCGGAGGCAAGATAATCTTCCACGGATGAGTTCTTCCAATATTTAAATCGAATCTCTTCTATTTCTTTCTAATTCTCTAGCTTATAGACTAATATTATTAATATCCCTCTGTATATACCACATAATTTCCTTACATGAGAAAAAGTTTATTGTTAAATTTTTACCAAATCAAACCCTGAAACTACACTGCTCCTTTAGATGAATAGAATTAGTGTAAATTACTTAAAAGGTAAAGTAATAGGGAATCATAAATGAAGGAGACAATAGCATTATGCAAAGGAAACCAATAAATGTATTATACAAAACATAACGACATGACCTTTCTATTTGCAGTTGGTAGCGAGAACCATATTACTTTCCTAAAAAGGAAAGCTATAGAAGTTGATTGATCACGCTTTGGGCCTAAGCCCAAACTTCAAAGTGGACCGTTAAGTTAGTTAAAAGGCCCGCGTTGATTCTCTTATCCTCAGATATTTTTTTTACGAAAATCCACGGCCACTAACCGTAAAGACACTCTCCGATTTTTTCTCTTCTTCTACTTAACTCGCTTTGCCTGACTCACTGAGTCATGGCGCTTCTGAGACCGCATCTTCATCGCTTTCACTCCAACACTCTCCGTTACTCCGCCTCTCCTTCCGCCGAAGCTGGCGGTGGCCTTGTCGTCTATCCCACGTATGGTCGTCATCGTTGCTCCGCGATTGCGATCGACGCGCCGTCGTCTCTCACTGGCGTGACGCCGATTCGATGGGGTTACACGAGCGTTCAAGGATTCCGAGATGAGATGGAGGACGACATCGTTATCCGTTCCGATGCTCTTGATAGCTTCTCCTACGCCGCGGTTTTCGACGGCCACGCTGGATCGTCGTCCGTCAAATTCCTCAGGTAACTGCTCATGCAAGCTCTGTTTTGTTGGGTTACAGTGGTGACGACGATGATGATGATGATGATGGATAGGGATGAGCTGTATAAGGAGTGTATTGGGGCATTGCAAGCTGGATCGTTGTTGAATGGAGGTGATTTCACAGCAATCAAGGAAGCTTTGATTAAGGCTTTTGAAAGCGTGGATCGTAATTTGCTCAAATGGTGAAAATTAGCTTAAATTTCTTATAGTTTGAATGAATTTTGATGATTTGAGTGAAGTGAAGTGATTCATCATATATGGTTTGGATCTAGGCTAGAAGCAAACGGTGACGAAGAAGACGAATCAGGTTCAACAGCCACTGTAATGTTCATCAGAAATGATGTTTCTTTCATTGCACATATTGGTGATTCGTGTGCAGTAAGTCTTTTTATTAACTAGTTTGTGGGAATTTTATCCATGAAGCATTGTAACTTGATCATGTATGAAGTTTTTTTGTTAATGCATTCAAAAAGGTATTATCTCGGTCTGGACAAATCGAGGAATTGACTGATTCTCACCGTCCATATGGAAGCAGTAAAGCAGCTATTCAGGAAGTGAAAAGGATCAAAGAAGCAGGTGGATGGGTGTGTGTTCTTATTTTTCATGTTTAAAACTTCTCAAATTATCACTCTGAATTTTCTTGTGTGGGGTTGTTAATATTTAGCTAAAAAGGAATGTCTTGCACTTCGTTTGATCAGATTGTCAATGGAAGGATTTGTGGAGACATAGCTGTATCCCGTGCTTTTGGTGACATCCGGTTCAAGACAAAGAAGGATGAGTTGGGTTCTTTCTCTTCTTACTACTGCTCTTCCCTTTTTTTATACTGCCTCATTACTCATAAACGTTCATTCACGCAGAATGTTAAAGAAGGGTGTTGATGAAGGAAGATGGACCGAGAAGTTTGTTTCGAGGTATAAGCTGTTTCTACTTTTGCTTGCCTCTTGTGTTACACTTTCAAAGATTTCTGTCCTAATTATTCCGATGAAATAATCAGAATCGAGTGTAAAGGGGACATGGTAGTCGCAACTCCAGATATCTTCCAAGTACCTCTTACTTCTGATGTGGAATTCATTATTTTAGCTTCTGATGGATTATGGGACTACATGAAAAGGTTCCCTTTGCCTTTTCTCTTTTTCCCAATTCAATCATATGCTTTTGTCAGGGTGAAGTACACATAGCTTACAATGATCAATGTTTTGCTGGTACAGTTCGGATGTGGTTAGGTACGTAAGGGATCAGCTTCGGAAACATGGAAATGTGCAGGCGAGTGTTTTTTTTCTTCCATCTTCTTATCTATTAGTTTCTACAATACATGTATGACTTTTAAGGCTGAACTAGTTTCCTAACTGTCCATCTGTAACAGCTTGCTTGTGAATCTCTTGCGCAAGTAGCTTTGGTAAATAGCTAAAAACCCTCCTCATGCTTACTTTTGATTAGGAATCAAAACTGACAAATTTACGATTTTGTTCCCACGGTTCAGGACCGGCGGTCTCAGGACAACATCAGCATCATTATTGCTGATCTAGGGTAGGGATTCATCTAGACAAAGTTTCCACTGCTATATGAAACCTCTATATACATTATTATATACTCTGAACGTGTTTTGGTTTCGATTTTTGCATAAACAGAAGAACAGAGTGGAAGAATCTCCCCGCGCAGCGACAAAACGTGGTGGTTGAACTGGTTCAGGCTGCAGCTACTATCGGTTTAGTTACTGTTGGCATATGGATGTCTTCACATCTATCTTAAGTGAATTGAACATTCCATCTCTTTCTTTAGTGTATATAAAACATGTAACTATGTCTAACACTCTAGTATTCCCATAGAAATGGAGATATGAAGATACCTCACAAACAAAACCAGCTTTATCTTATTATATAACCACTTTCACAAGCGTTGAAACTACATTTACAAAGAAATGCATCTTTCAACAACGACATACATAGTGATAAGAAAATCAAAGAGAGAAATAAGATATCGACAGTGGTGTAAACAAAACTTGGAAGCAAAAGGAGCCAAAGGATGCATTCATGCATCTTTCGCAGATTTATATCTTCTTGAGGAACTCCATGATGTGAGTACCATAGGCTCTGCAGACAACTTGGAAGCCCTGGAATCCAGAAGCTTTGGCCAAGGTCTCAAACTCCTCCTCGGTTCGCTCTTTGCCTCCGGGGTTGTGTGCCAACATGAGGCAGTCCATGTGGACAACTTCTTTTGTCATGAGGCTTGAGTCTGGCACCACCGGAAGTATAGATTCCGCCACTATCACTTTCCCGTTGTCTGGGAGTGCTTCGTAGCAGTTCTTCAGAAATTTCAAACAGTGTTGGTCGCTCCAATCATGACATATCCACTGTCACATGTGATAAATGTTAAAAACCAAATGTTTGGGATACATTCTTATGACTATTATGCTAAATGTAGTAATTATAAACTTGTTAACAAGAATCAATAGGACTAGTTACCAACCTTCATGAAGATGGCATCTGCTTTAGGAACATTCACAAACATATCTCCCCCAATATGATCAATACCTGAATCATTTAACAAATCCCACCTCTAAGTCAATATTATAGGACACTAAACCTTCAATGATTTAGAATCAAAGTACCTAAAAGAGAATTATATATACCGGGGTAGGATATAGCTTCCTCAATGACATGAGAGAGATCATAAAGGATGCCTTTGATGTGTGGGTGCTTGGAGACAATCATGCGGAGAGTGACTCCAATGCCACCACCAACATCTACCAATGAAGACAATCCCTCGAAGCCCTTGTACGTCTCAAGAATCTTGGTCATGACGATGGTTGAGTGATTCGACATTCCATTGTTGAACACTTTGTTGAATCTTGGGTCGGCCCCTTGGTACTCAAAAGCGTCCATACCAAATGCCTTGTCGAATGGGACTCCGCCTTCAAGAACTGCATCTTTCAAATGAAACCTGCACACAAACAAACATATTTCACTCGTCACATATCCACATGTACATGTTTCTTAGTGTAGAGTTAGAATTTTATAAGGTTACAACAAGATTTTACCAGCTCTCCATGAACACTCTGTCTCTGTTCAAATGACAAAGTGCCGCGAGGGAGACTCCATGTTCGTTCTTAGTCAGGTACTTGCAGACTGGTCCCAGTCCATACAGACGCTCCACACCGCCGTCAACAAGCTTACGGACAGAGCATGTCAAGATGGAGTAAGCCGCAAGCAACCTGAGGATCCGATCGACCATGACAGGAGCATCAGGGTTCTTTGTCGGAAGATAAGAAGCTATCTCCGACGGCGAAAGTTGAGCACCAGCGAGACCGGCATTCTTGTATATGATCTCGAGCAGGTTGAGCTCTAACGCCGATGTTAGAACCATCGGAAGCACGGTAGCACCGGCGAGCTGCATAGCAAAGAGGTTGGCTTCTTCGTCGGAGATTTTAGCAGGAGTGATCTGTGTTTCAGCCAAAGATCCCATTCTGCATCTGTTTTTTTTTTGGATTTTTACTCTGTTTTGTTTCTTTCCCGCCTTTTAAAACTGTTTTGGTGTCTGTTTTTGAGAGTGAGAAATGAGAACTGCAATTGGGCTATATTTATACTAAAAATATGTAGCTACTTTTTTCTTATATAATTTGCATATACTGAACTAAATATTCCTACTTAATTTCGAATGAAAAAAAAAAAACTAAATATTCCTACTCTTACCAACCTTGATATTTCAAAATTATATATATGTCAACAAGATGGTTGGGACGTAAATGTCATCGATGTTAAAAAAAAAACTAATCGGAAGGAAAAGCAAGGCTCATGCCACAGTTGGTGGTTCCAAATTTTAGCTACTTGACATTTTCTTTAGGCATCTATAATTATATTTGGTTTTGTTTGTTTTTTCTTTGTCTTTTTGACATTCTTTAAGGTTATCATATCACAAGAAAAAAACTTTCTTGACATTGTGCACTCTTCAAAAGCCAACTATCAACGGAATCACGGTGGAATTTGTGCATGTAATCTCGTAGCCTAACATAACCAATCTAGACGAGATAAATTAAGAAGTCAATTAAACAAAAAAAAAAATTGATTAAAATTTGAAGGAAAACACACAAAAATTAGAGTTCATCATGATCAAAATAGTCTTCGTCGTCCAGTTCTTCGTGATGAACTGCCTTGTAAAACACATCTTCGTGGCGCAACATCTCTTCAAGTGATAGTTTACCATCTTTATCCTCATCCGCCTACACAAATAAAATAAAATTAAACGTTAGAAATTTAAGCAATATACACATCTACTTAGCATAGTTGTAATCACATTTCTAATTCTGTTCTTAAAATCGGTTTAAGACAATAACATATACACACACTATTAATGAATGTCAAAGCTATGAGAAATGATTTAAGATTAAGATTTAGGTTGGAAGAGACTAACCTCGTGGCAAAGGAAAGTAGAATAGTATTTGGCATAACTCATCTCACCAGGTTGAAGATAATGCAAAATGGGTCGAAGCTCATTGGCCACGAGGAATCTGTCTTTGTTCCTGTCCAGCTCCGCGAACAGAAGCTGAGCTGTTGGCACATTCTCATCCTCCTCTGTCTCGAACTTTGCGAATTCTTTATACATTTCGTATGTGTTTTGTACAAACTCTCTGTACTCTAGCTTCCCATCACCGTTCGTGTCCATGCCCCTATATATTACATATATCAAACAACACGAACGTAAGCTTCTATTTATGATCATATTGAAACAAGATTTATCACAAAATGCTTACGTCATTCGCTCCGTTAGAACCCATCTTTGAGTATCTCCGTTTCTGCTATCTTCAGGGTGCAAGAAACTGCAAATCCCATATTTTTTCATTCATTTTTTATTTCTGAAAATTTTATAAGGAAATGAGATTTTTCGGAGTATAATAATTACTTGTTGAACTCTTCAATGTCGAGGGAGCCATTATGATCAAAATCGGAATTCTTGAATTGCTCCATCCACCAACCGGCTTCACCGTGACCCTTCTCGTTTTTCTCTGTTTCCATATTAGTTATCATTGTTTTTTTTACATAATGAAGAAGAAAATTCTCGAAGGATCAAAGACAAGTTAATATATTACCAATATCTTGCTTAGAGAATTGAGGCAAGTACTCTTCAAAGGTTATGACACCGTCCTTGTCCTTATCTTGTAGCTCAAGCTCTTTGGCGGTTCTGTAACCCATGTTGTCCTCTGTCTGCTGCATCATCCATGTCTGAAGCTCTTTCAAGCTCACGAAGCCATCTCTTGGTGCCGCGTCAAGCAGAGGGAACAAGAACTTGATCCTCATTGTCGTGTTAAGCCTTCTCTCTTGTGCAAAATACCCCTCAAACATATCATCTTCCTCCTCCTTTGCAGCCTCCACGGTCTTCGTACCAGCTTCTTTCTCATTAGACAACCGCTCGATCCGGGTCACCAGAGGGTCAAACACGGGCATTTCAAGCCTGCGTCCAATGCGGCGGCTTATGAGACCCTCAATGGATTGAGTCCGGTTTTGTTTCTTATGAGCGAAGAGGACGAGGACGATGAAGGTGGCAGCTAGTATCGCGTAAACCACCACCTTGGCCATTTTCCGAGAGCCAAAGGTGGGGTTCTATGGAGAGAAGACGAAAGGGCCACGAAGATTGCTAATTCTGTTTTTGTATTTGCTTTATTGGGGTTATCCGTAAATCATTAGTTTATGTTCTATCAACCGTTTTTTGCCGCCAAAGTCGGTTATTTATTTGTTGAGAATCCAATGACTCCCTCTCTCTATATGTATATATGTGTATGTATATAGCAAACCAATAAAAACCGGTTACGATATATGTCATAAAGCCTGAAGGAACAAAAGATTGTTGCAATGTAAGAAGAAAGAAATTAAAGAACAAGACTTGGAAACAGCCAAGTGATATAGTGTTGGAACCATATGGTAGGGATGGAAGGAAAGTTTAAAGTAAAGAAAAGCTTCTTACTAAGTCATTTGATCATATACATTGCGGGATTAGAGAAGACGTGGTTAGTATTTGTTTAGTCTGTCTGCTTTGCAGAATCTCGGATCCAGGGCCAGTCTGACTCGCAGAGATCGAGGGGAGAGTTTCCATCGTCATCTTTAGCGGCTGTATTTGCTTTCTGTTTCACTAGAAACTCGGCAATGGCTTCTCTGTCGCATACAACAGCGTAATGCAAAGGGGTTTGGCCTTCGTTGTCCTGTTCAACACAATAACCAAAAAACACATAAATGAAGAAGTTGCTACCTTTGCAGATAATGACTAGGTAGGAATTTCTCTTTCTTCACCTTAGCATTCACATCGGCGTTCTTATCGACAAGAACTTTGGCGATGTTGAGGTGGCCACGGTCAATAGCCCAGTGCAACGGTGTGCGACCTTCACTGTCTGCAGTTTACGGAAAATTAGAGAGCAAATCCAACATCACGAGCATGAACTTCCAAGAAACGGAATATACACGCAGAGACTAACCCCTTGCATTTACAGGAATGCCGCTTTCAATGCTTTTCAGCAAATTGTCGACTTCTCCTTCTCTAGCAAATCCGTGTATGGCATCAATCTTCCTGAGAGATAAAACAAAAGTTCAATGAGCAGAGGATTAGTGTTTCATTCAGATAGACAGGAAAAACGAATAGCTTAAAGTTCCATGAGACAATTGTAGCCATTTCACCAGCAAAAACTGCTGCAGGTGGAACGAGACAGGAACGTTACATATTCACCGAGTTTATGAGCCTATTTGTGAAATCAGGATACATATATCTAATCTATACATGAACGCAAGGAGCAGGAAATAAAACACATGAGAATACAAGAAGAGAACCTTACAACTCATTTTCGGATTCCTCATCATAAACCAACGACCTGAAAACTGGTCCCATGGTTCCTCTTGAGTTGGAGGCTGCATCATCCCCACCCCGACTTCCGGCTTTCTGTTAGAGAAGCTCTCATGAATAGTCCAGAAGAAGAAACATAAGCGATATAACGAAAATAAAGAAGAGGAAAAAAAAAAACTTTATACCACGCCACCGTCTAACCAAGTTGGGTATAGCTGAGTGACAATCTCAATATACTTCTCCATCGCCTCTTCAGGGGGCATAGCTCCCAGTTTCTGCCATGCTTGCCTGAAATAGAACAAAATCATGGCACATTCCAATCAATGAAGTTGCACTCTTATAACAAACCATAATCACATAGACAATCAACTGTTACAACAGTAAAAACCACATAATCTTCCAGCACTTGCATAAGCCAAGAAGCTAACTAGGTGATATCAAGATACACCCAATACAAGTCTTCCTAGTCTATGAAGAACCTAAAAACCTCAAATTCCACCTAAAATCAAATATCAAACAGTTGAACAAAAAACCTAGAAAATTATATGTAGAAGCTAATGGCACAGAGAAATACCACTTGGCACGAGCAGTCATTTTGAGAGCTGATGGCTGAGGAGCAGTACAAGGTCCTTCCGTAGCAATCTTATACAATCCGTAAAGCTGCTGCTGCACGTCGCTAGGTACCTTCTGCGAAAGCCGATCTGCGGCGGCGGTAGTTACGAAAAGAGTGGCGGCGCTAAAAGCCTCATCGAGTTCCGTGCTCTCGACGCCTTCCCAATCATCATCTTCCTCGCTGTCGTCACCGACGACGCTATCACTTCTGGAGCTACCCTGCTCCGCCACAAGCGAATCCGCCTCACCACCAGCGCCGCCGCTAGAAGAATCGAGACGTCGCGAGTCAACCCCTTCTGGTTTTACCTCGAATTGAGACTCCTCGGTGTGACGAGTAAGAGAGAGATTGTCTTCTTTAAACGTGACGACGATCGAGATCAGCTTAGCCAGAAGGTAAGAGAAAATCAAACCCAGGATCACAGACTGAGCAAGTTGAGCCCAATCACCCATTCTTCCCAAAACCGAAATCAAATTCTCAAAAGCGCCGACAATTGAAACCCTAGAAAAGTTCAAAACAGAGTCACGAGGAAGAAGAAGGAACCCAACGGATCTGGAGAGACAAAAAGGAACAAACTTGAGTTGGTTTTTTTTTTCACCGATTCATTCAGTCACCAAACAAAAAAGAGAAGCCTTTTCGTTGTGGGAGTTAAGACTTTTTTATTGAATTGAAATCATATTGAATCAAGTTAAAGACGACACAAAATAAACTTGCGACGAGTGACGACAGATCTCACACATATGGGTCTAATTGGGGAAGAAGTCGACGTGTTGTACCGTAAATTTTTTCTCCTTTAACCAACAAAATAAATAAATATTCGACAATAACACGTAAAAAGGTGTTTGAATTTATAACAACGTTAAATTATGTGGTGGAATCGTGGTAGAAAATAAATCTAGAAGACGTGCATGGTGTGGGGATGATTAAAGGCTTGAATCATACGACACGTAAATTGATATGTATCCATAAGCAAATAAAGGTAGACCACAAACTTGAACGCATTAGATTCACGTGAAGTTGGCATGAAAATGAAATCCCAGCTTTTTTTCTTCTTTATGGGTTTATATAACAAAAGACAAAATTCATAACATGATACTAAATAGTTCCACTCACAGACATTGCTTGCTCAAATGAGCATCTCATGAAGAGAAAACCAACCCAACCCACCCATATGAGTGAGTGACTCATTTTTTACATGGAATACTCATTTAAGCAAGAAACATTAGAAAGTGGAAGGAGATTTTATCACTTTTGTGACTTTGTCCATGAGAGTAAGAGAGATGCTGACTCTATTGATATATATGAGAAACGTGACTGCACAAACTAGGGGGAATTTACGGAAGTACCCTCTACTCGAACAGGAAACTACCCACCAACCCAGGCCACCATACTACTGAACACCTTAATAATATAACTCAAGACACACTAACCAAACACTTGAACAAGACTTGTAAGTAAAGCCATGGAATGGTAGCTCAACCTTGACTTTTATCCAACAATCAAACATTCTCAAGCAAACCACATGCCTGGGGGATTCATTCCCCACTTTATAGTGTAGATTAAAACAAGGAAACAAGAAAAAAAGGAATTTTCTCAATTACTTACCCTTTGATCTGTAAGGGGTCACTTAAACTGTGGTAATTTTTTGAAAGACTATTCGTGTTGTGCTCCATACCGGCATTGGATATTTTCCCCTTCTATAAGCTTTTCAACTGCATCGAGAGGAAGACCCACCAGCTCTAACGTCTTTTCCCACACTCTCTGTGCAGTTTCTGTGTTGTGTGCTTCTTCGGAAGGATTTGCAGGGCGGCAATCTTGAGAAATAAATGGGCAAACTGGCCAGTCGTCGTTTTTTAGTGTTTCCCAATACTCTGGAATCTGAGGGTCTGTGGCCGAGAATAGAGAACTTCTACAACCTTCTTGGGGTGAAAATATGAAATACGGTATCACAGCGTAAAGAGCTTGAAGAAACCTGGATAGATCCCTGGCCTAAAAAATTTGGAAACAATTAGGCAGTTCAATGCAATGAAGTTCTGAGAAAACAGAAGAATCCTGCATTTGTAACGAAATGAAGTGAAGCTAATACTCACAACATTTGTTAGGACAACACCAGGGGATAGACATATGACGCTAACTCCTGTTTCTAGAGGAAGCTTTTTGAAAAGAATGCTACTAAACATAATCTGGAAGATGGAAGATCAGAAAGCGAGACTTAACTCACCAGTTTCTGAAAATAAGCCCCTTTCAAAAAATAGAAACTGTGGCAGATGAATAAATTAAATGCCGTTACTGTAAGCTCACCTGGGCAAGCTTGCTGCTTGAGTATCCTATAAGGCTTGAGTACTTACGTCTACCAGAAACAACATTCATGTCATCCGGGTCAACAAAACCGACACTATGCATCTACAAAAGTGAATCCCACAACCCATTATCTTGCATGAAAAAGTAATAATCAAAGACAATAAATATAAACTGTTTCAGTTTTCACAAACAGCAAGCCACAAAAATTCTTCTGAAATGAGTAATGACATAATGCAGATCATATAATCCAGTCATGGTAGTGTATTTTGGGTCGAAACTTTCTACAAGCTTGGGTTTGTATCGTTTCTCTATACCAAGACTCTCTTGATAAAATATGCATATGTAGTTCAGCGATTTAGAGAGACCAAAATCATTTATCTACATATTCTGCAATCAACTAAAAAAACTAGAGGTTTTCAAGTTACAGAATACACAAACAAATTGAGCCTTTCAACATGATTACTCATACGAAGAGTATATTATAAACTAGAGAATACAGACTTGGAGCCTGCAGTGTCAGTGATCATAGAACTTACAACGGAATTCACATTAATGATTCGGCTAGGAGAGCCTCGGATAAGAGACGGCAAAAGAAGTACGGATAGCAGCGCTGGAGCTAAATGATTCACTTGCATGTGCTGCTCATATCCTTCCTCTGAGAATTTTTGCGCCTCTGCACAAATTAGAGAACAGAGCATTTTAGATGGTTACTTTCCTCAACATATACTGAAGAAAATGTAGCATCTGACAACGAATTATTTAAAAAGGAGACCCATCGGACAGAGTTCCATATACCGGCAATAATAGAAGACTTGTACAGGAAAAAAAAGCCAGTTCTCATCAATTGGGTCCATCAAGTTGGAATATCGATGATGATGATTGGTTCACAAGTATGACTTTGAGATCATAACAAGAGATGATGAAAATAGATACAGGAAACAACAGAAGGGGGAAACTCAATGCTTTAAAGCTAAAAAGGGCAATAAAACCAACCTCCCATAGCAAACATCCCAGCATTGTTAATCAGAACATGCAAAGGTCCTAACCGAGCGTTCAAAGCCTCGGCAAATCTTGCAACAGAATCCAGTGAGAGAAGATCAATCTCCATTGCCTGTACAAAGTTAAACAGAGTATCATCATCAACTATCTAGATGTTACGAGGCCTCTAACTAATATAAAAGAAATTGGTTTAGCCAGAGTCTAACTAGTTCCAATACACATTCTTGACTAATATCAGTCCCAGTAATACACATTTGTAAATTTTAATAAGTACATCACCATGATAAGGTTACCTCAATATTGAGTGGGAGACCTTTACCAGACCATTCGTTCTGCCATTGATGTATCAGCTCCTGAGCCGCCTTTGTGTTCCTTACGGCCATCACAACATGAGCACCGGCCTCTGCAAGCTGCCTGCGTCCCAACTAGACCAAAATAAACTCAATTGGGTTGTGAATCGGAAGTAACGGGGAAGAGAACAAACCTAGCGGTCTCGCGGCCAATGCCGCTGGTGGAGCCAGTGACAACGCAAGTGAGGTCATTGACGGAAGGAAGAGGAAGAGGGTTCTCCAAATGAGAAGCTGTGATCCTCTGGAAGAGAATCTCCCCGAAAACACTGCTCCATCCTCTCATCCACTCCATCCATCCCAGATTCTGCTTCTTCTTCGCCGGAGAAAAAGACGACGCCGTTTCGTCACTCATCTTCTTCTTCCGGAGTTAGATCTATGACGTTGCACAGCAACAAAAGACAAAAAGTGTATTTCGTCAAAAACTATGGCTTCACTAACTCCTGGAAGATCCGAATCTATGGGCCGGCGAGAACTTTCTGACCCACATATATGGGCCGGCGAGAAGATAAACATTCTCAATTGACCACCGGTCATGGATTCATGGGTCAACGATGATTACACATTGTTAGACTGTTAGTGTTTCATAAAAATGTGTACGATGATTTTCATTTTACTATGTCCTGAGTCCTGACTATGCAATCGGCGTAGCATCACTCTATTATTCTCTTGTCTACTAGATGAGAGATATTTGACTACATTCAAGAAAAAGTGAGAAAATCAATCCTCAAATGGAGAGAATGGTTCTAATCTTAGATTTGTGTTCATATGACAACTCTAAATCATATTGTATGATGAATCCTTCTTGTTTTGGTGTCGATTGATTTGTTATTCGGAAGTGGAACATCATTAAACAACTCTATTTCCATGAGTGTTGTTACATAGTTACAAATAATAATAACTTGGTTTTATGTTTAAAAAAAAAAAAAAAAAAAAAAAGTAAGTAGTTTGACAATCAGTACAAGTCAAGAGACTCGAGAACTCTACCAGCCTGGATATGAAGAGCAGTGATTCTTTGTTCAGGATCACCTGTTGAACCGAATTGACTCGCCGCCCATATTAAAGAAGCAGATTTTTCACCCAAGAGGCGCCTGATGTCTTCATTTACACTTGCAATGGGAGAACGATCCTTCCCATTCACATGTCCAACTAACAGTAGTAAGAACTCTCCGCATCTTAACCTGTGAATCAGTAAGGAACTAAACATGACCAAAAGCCTAAACCACGACCATCGATTTTTTTGGACACAAAGTGGATGATATCATTAACTAAATCATAACCAGTGACCTTAGAGTTGGAACTCTTTAAGATGCATGAGACCAAACTTAAGATGATAAGGGTTTAACTAGACAATTCAATGAATTTGACAAGGAAATTGATCTAAACCAGAAGAGACAAAAAGGAAATGAATCTTCGTTGACAGCAGTTTTTCTCCTCTAAATATACTGTATAATAACCATATGTGAAATGCCAGAACAAGTGCCATGAAAGAAACTGAGAACAAAAACTTGTTAAATTCACCTGAGGTTTTCATCAGCTTGTTTGTCTCGCATGAGCATTGCAACCTCTTCAATGCCATTGCAGGCTCCAAAATCCTGTTACCAAGAGAAATTAGAGAAGTTAAAAAAAAAAGCAGGTGAAGGCCAGTTTGTTTTGTTCCATTGATATGCATCTGTCTGAGACTCAAAACTTACCTGCTTTCTATTTCGTTACGTTACTAATCACAGAAGTTGTTACTAAAAGAAACAAACTGAATAACTTACCACCTGATTTGCTGATGAATCCAACAATACTGAGATTAAGGCATCCAAGCAGGCCCCTTGCTCAAGTACTCCTCGTGTTGATAATACATTCATCATTACCTGAAATATTTTATGAGCATCTGTATCACATTAACAATTTAACAGCCCACACAACCAAGAAACTTCCCACTGCATCAATCTGGTCTAAAACATGAAGAGTCCAAACATAAGATCGACAAAGAAATGAAAAACGATCAAAGATGTCTCTCGTACACAGGAGTCTCCCTTCCCGCCAAATCATAGTGAGAAGTGACAATTTCACAACAAAAATGCAGAGTTCTAGTTTCTAGAATTCTCTATGCATCAATAGACTAGTAATAAGTAACAAAGGAGAGTCTATCTTACGCGGACTGCACCGTGCTTATGAGCCAGAACAGTGCTCTGAGGATGGAGAAGACAGCATCCTTCGAGAACCCTAAGTGCAACCGCGACCTCAGCATCCGTAGAAGGACTCGTTATCTTCATCGGCTCCACACTGAATATATGATCCAAGCTCGTCACTCTATCATCCTCCGCTTCTTTCAACGAATGTCGGAAAAGCACCGGAACCACTGCGAAATCACGAAGCTTTTCATCATCAGAGAACACACACATTACACAGCATCGATTTGGGTATAAAAATGAGGAAATAAAGATAATCAGACATTGGAGATCGGAAATGGTTTGGGTATGAGAGAAGAGGCGGATGATGGAATCTGAATCGGCGACAGTTCGGAGAGTTTTGAGAAGAGATCTAAGGCCACAGATACGAAGGAAGGAGAATTCAGCGCAAGCATCGCGTAAACCGGTCCTAAGGGATAGTGTCAGCTCCCTGTAAAGTCTCTGCGTATTGAGAGAAGTCACCAGCTCTTCAACTACCATCGCCGCCGCGTCTGAATCCTCTCCGTTCTCCGATTCCGACGGATTCTCCGGCGTTGCTGCTGACGCGCCATCGCTCCATATCGGTCTCTTCAGATACATCTCTTTCTCCCTTGTCTCTCTTTCTCTCCTCTGGGGGTAATCACATTTGTTGGCGATGTCCCAAGACGGCAACCACTTAGCTTTGGCAAACATAAAGCAGCACGTAGTCTAAATGTTTGAACGGCACGCATTTCTTTTCCCCTGGTTATCTATCTTTCAAGCAACTCAAAGACGAAGTGTGGAGAATGATATTACACTTGCAAAGGAGAGAAACTATTAGCATCTTTATTAACAGAGAAACTTTGTACGAACAAATCCATAGTTTGAACACAAGAGACGACATATAATTAACACATAGAGAGGGACAATGAAGAACTGGAAAAATGGCTGATGATGGACTTGTGAAATCCCACAAGATCGGAATTGACAAAGCCAAATTTTATCTATGTACAGTTTTTGAGCCAATCCAATAATGAATTCAAACATGTTCCTCAGCTCTACCAATCCTCCTTGACAATCTTAGCCTTTTCGAATATGAACTTGCCCTCCTTGTACTTCTGTGAGGTCTCATAAGCTCGCTCGTATTTCCAACCCAACGGTTCATTACAGTCAGCACAAGATATATCAGCCACTGTGTGTAGACCTGTTAGAAGATGCCGGTCTTCTTTAGGCCCTACCACAATATTCATTGCGTGGGAGAACAAAAAGGCTCGCCCAGTTCTTCCCTGGTAATGGAGAAGTAGAACCATGGATTAGGACATCAATGGTTTTCACTTTTCACAATCAAGAAATACAAATGCTAGAAAAATGTCTAGTAATGACTAGTCTTGATTTCTAGTAATGACTAGTACTGACTAGAATTGATTTCATAACCAACCACAAGCTTACTCAAATAATGACTAGTCTAGTTATTTATATCAATTGCATTCTTACGTTTTGTTTCCACGATCAATTTCCAAAATTTGATTAGACTCTAACACCGATAAACAGATACCTTGGTAGGAAAAATGATCCAAGTAGGAAGGACAATAAGTCAAAAGTTCTCCTAAAATCTGAAAGACAGTCAGATTCTCAGCTCGAGCTAGTCGTAGATCGGTTCTCCACTTAATTCTCTACATCAATCATATGGGACACAAACATAAAAAAAGAGATGAGGAAGCTGATTGATTCACCTGAAAAGCCTTAGAGATGATATCATCGTGAAGTCCAACATGGTTTCTGCAGTTGCAGCAACTATACAGTCTTGGACCAATTGAGTGAGCCATTTTATCAAACACTTTCAGGGCGTGATCAATTGCTCCAACCAAGTCCTCACCTTTTGTCACCAAAACACACAAAAATCCATAAATACATCCAGAACCCACATGGAAACCAGAAATCAGGGTTACTAAAGACAAGAGGAGATAAAGAAAAACCTTTCCAGATTCTGAAAATTCACCAAGCTTCAAACTTCAATGTTTCTGGAAATAGAAGATAAGAACAGTGGGCAGGTGTTAGCGTGCAAGATTAGAGATTCCACGATATTACCTCAATTTCAATAAACAAATAAGAGTGGGTCAAGTCAAGAGACCACAGATGAATATAAAATACACAATTATTGGTAGGGTAAGGGAAACGAAATGAGATATTACCGGAGAGGAAATTACGCAGTAGATATGATACAACGAAATGGAGAAAAAATCAGACGAAAGATTCGATTTTGATCTTTGAAATGAAACTTTCTGAGGAAATTTCAGAGGGATCTTACAAGGGTTTAACGGATCGAACAAAGAAGCAAGAGAAATTGAGTGGAGAATAAGGTTGGAGTTGGATCAAAGTTTTGATCTTTATTAGTCTCTCTGATCATATGGCCGTGTAGCGACTATCTTGCGACTTCTTTCTTTCTGGGTTTTTGCTTTATGACTGGGAAATTAAGAAAATAAATAGTAGCAGCAGTGATGAAAATTGGAAATGTGGAACAAAGTTGTCTCTTCATATTTTTTTTTCTTTTTTTTTTTCCGTTTTCATAAATATTTAACTTGTACTGTAAATTTGTAATAAATTTTTAAAAGAAGCTTTCTATTTTAATTTTTTTTAAATAGATTTTTTTTTTACTTGTTTTCAAATCTCTTCATAGAGAACAACCAATATACTGATGACATTTGTACAACAAAGGTAATAATAATATAGTAATATACATACAAACTAGAATTTAACCCGCGGTATACCGCGGGACTATATTACTTAAAAAAATGTAATGTTATTTTTTAAAAGACTAACTGAAGATATATCATATTAATTTGTATTTTAAAATGTAGATATCTATTTATCAATTTTTGAAGTATAAATACGAAAACATACATTTTTTTTAAGTAACGATGTATGGTGGATTTTAAACTTTTGAATATTTTATTCTGCAGTATACCGTGGGTCGGGTTTTTTATAACTGAAAATTTTAAATTTAAGTTGGATTTGTTTTGTTAATATTGTTTCTTTTGTTTTGTGTTTAAGATTGTATAATTGTATTTTGATTATTAATTTTAGGATTTCATCCGTGATATACCGTTATTTATTAATATCGACCCAAACCCGTCATCCCATATAAACCCGTCTATATTATCTCGTTAGCTAAATTATTAGTATTATAAAATCCAAGAAAATAAATTATTATTGTTATAAAATCTAATAATTTTAGGATCTCACCCGTAGTATACCGTTATTTGAACGATTTTAAATTTATACTACTAATATATATTTTAAATTTATCATATAAAGTATATGATTTCAAGTTTTTTGTGTTTTTTTTTTATTTAAATAAAACAACGGCTTAAATGATGATAGATATAGTTCTTTTTCTGTATGTGTATTTGATTTTTCTATGTGAATATTTTGATTATTATAAAATAGTATTTTTATTGCTATGCAAAATGTTAATATAAATATTTGCTATAAATTTTTTTGAAGATATATAGAAAGATTGTGTAAATATTTTTAGAAACAAATTAGGCAAGATATTGTTTGGTTAATATCTTTTATTTAAATTTTGTAAAATTAATAATAAATGCCAATGACATTCTTTGTAAATACTGCCTAACCCTAGGATTTATTTGCTAAAAGTCATCCAAAAATGTATATATAGATATAGATATACAATCATCAATTCCTTTCATTTTTTTATTTTAACCTAACCCTCCAAGAGTAATTCTTGACTAGGTTTCAATATCTCTTGGTCAACTTGAGCTTCTCGATGACAAACATGCCTTCTTTATACCTCTGTTTAAGATCGAAGGTCTCAACATATTTCCAACCCAACGTCTCACCACACTTACTGCACATCACATCTGCCACCACGTACGAGCCGGTTATCAGTTTCCTCCCAATCTTCGGTCCAACCACCACGTTCATCGCGTGTGAAAACATAAACGCTGGCCCCGAAGCTCCCTAAAATCCATTTTTCAAAAACATTTTGTATTTGTAACCAATTGAGATTATGAGGAGACTTGATCATCTCTAGAAAACCATCGGATAAGAAATGAAAAAAATTAATTTTTTGGTATATCTAAACAATCTCTAGTGTTTTTTGTTACCACAAATTTTTTGGAGATGAGATCTTCACCGAGAGTTAGTGGATTCTCGCAGTTTCTGCAAAAATACGTAGGAAGAGTTTTGTTTTCTGCCATTGGACGATGGATATAGAAAGAAAATCGGAAAGTTTGTAAGATTGGATGAGAGACTATGAAGATTATTAGTTCTTATCGTTAATTCTTGTGGAAATTATAGTGCGTTGACTCAAACATTTGCATTATTGTATGCCACTGCCAATGTTTGTGCTTTTGGATTAATGGGCCATTTATGGGCGTATAAACAAAAGGCCAATTTGAATATTTAGTTTTCACTTGTGAAAAAATATTAAAGACCCATTGCTTCTTTCATCGTCTCATCTCATGGGTATGAAATGGAGCTCCACAAAATTTGATATACTGATGGCCACATCCGCGTGGTCATTGTTTAGCGGTGATGGACTGTGTCTGTCTTTATACACCGAGACTTGGTCGGTTGGTCCAATCACGTACTGACTGAGACTTGCACACGCATCGGTGTAGCATTCTAAGGTAGTTTTGATGTTATTGGTTCTGTTTTATACACATAATAATAATGCGTTTACTGCAACCATCCCATTCACATGTACATTAGCTCACCTCTTATTTCTCAGTTTGTGTGTGTGTGTATTGAATATTTCTCAGCCGAGGGAGTGATTTTTTTCCTTTAGTTTTAGGTCGGTGTTTCATTAATGACCAAACATATGTTTTCAACACTAGTTTCATTTTCACTGTCCATTCTTAGAAGTATTCAATTCAATAACGTAACGGTGCTGATATTTTTAGAATTATCTTAAGACAAACAATATAGAAAAGTCTTTTGTCCGGTGTCTAGCTTTAGATTTTGGAGCCTACTTTAAAGTCGTCTCCAAGTGATTTCCAGCTAAACAGTGGTCACATTAATAAAATAACGAGGGTAGTAGCCCCATTTTCACTTTTCATACTCATCCTTTTTAAAAAGCAGAAAAAAGCACATTCACTTCTTGTGATATCCACACACACATCACATTTACCATATCCGTATTCTGTAAAACTTGCTAACCATACATTTTCCTCTTTTTTATCTGACTTAAACTTGATTGTGTGAATCATGGTACGTAGGTTGGTTTTAGCGTTGTAAGTTATAATGATTAATAATGTTTTGATCAGTACCATGGTTGGAATATTTATCGGCTTATTTTGTTGGAAATGTTAGTTGGGATATATTTGTTTAGTTAACCCGTGTAGAGAGTCATTATTTGGTCATTATGTTAGGTGTATCAGTATATGCCGTGACATCGCATTTGTCCATTGTCCCAAGTCGCAATCGTCATCATTTCCACATGCATGAAGCATCTTTTTGAATCTAAAGTCTTAAGATTCACATTGTGCTTTTGTTTCCTTGTCCCTACATATCAGAAAACGACAGTTCTTATCAAATCATCGACATACTTATTTGAAGTCACCTACCTCTAAAGGATAACCTAAGTTCTCAAAAGCCGTATATAGTTCCTGCATTTTTTTGGATCCATCTTAGAAATCCTAAGACGTAACAACTGTAGACGTTCAGGGTATATAGATTTTTTTTGGTTAGACTAATCTTTTTTTTTTGTGCAAAGATTTTTTTTAATATAAATTTATCAACTCCGTGACACCAAATGTAAAAGTATTTCAGAGAAACATAAAAGTATATCAGTATACGCATTTGATACAATCTAATCTATCAACTATTTCGATATATGTGCCTAGATGGGGTTCTAAGCTAGGAAGAGTGGACCTGCGAGGCTGCAAATTATATCAAGTGGCACATGATTTAGTTGCAACTTGAATTCGATAAACACGTCCCACAGTACAGTACAAGTTGCCATTTTTCCTTTGTATTCCCGATAATAACATTAATTTCGGTGTTCCATTTATAAATTAGAAGACGACGAATTTCTCATGCTGACCCAAAAGTCTTTGTTCGAATTAACACGAACGACTTATGTATATCTACGGTTTCGATGTGATCGCTACCCAAAGTTGACCATAAGGTTATTGCTTGTTATTACCGTTAGAACAAGCTTCATTAACACTTGCTTAAAACCAATTATCCAATGTATTGCTAATGCTTCTTCATTAACGGTCTAGTTATGTACTAAATGCTTCTTTTGAAAAAAGTTACAAGGTTTTTGGTGACAATAAATTTGTGTACAGCTGGAGTGGCACTGATCACCAAAATTTTAGGTTTTTCCACCATTGATGACAAATTGACAATTTCATAAACATATTGGTATCGTTGACTACTGACTAGAAGTTAGAACAATTTCATAATCTAATGGAATGTGATTGAACCGTTGTTAAATCAGTATTCGAATTTAATCCTTTTTAATATTGAAAAAGAAACATAAATAGTAATAGTGGTCTATTTAATATTCACCACATTTGTGCCGTGAACTCCGTTACCCATTAAACCAGATGCGTTATTATTTTTATACATTTTGAGTGAAAACAAGTATAAGAAAATATCTATTGGAGGAAAAAAAAAAAAAAAAAATCTATTGTTTTCTTTTCGACGTTCATGTATATCTTGTGCTTCTGTGTATTATCAATTATCAATGATAATCTGACTCTTTTTTTGTTGGCTTCCTTTGTCTAATTTTAAAATTACAAAATTATATATGTCTTAGCTGTTTTTTCCCTCCCACACTTGACCCATCACTTGTCGTTTTCCACTCTGATTTATTCTCTTTCTTCTACAGAATTCATACATTATATAATATTATATCAGTAATAACATGTGAGTGAGAAGAAAAAACTATTAGTGGGAAAAGACAGACTTCCTTAATGGATATATTCATCAATTCAATCCATATATATATATATATATATATATATATATTTTTTTCATCAATTCAATAATTGCGATATATCAATCAAGATCTTACATATATAAAAAAGACTCGTCCCCAAAGATCGGTAACACTTTTCAAAAACGATGGGAGAGATAGCAACAGATTTCACGGCGGTTATGGATGATGATGACCGGTGCGTTGTACCGGAGGTAGAGCTCACTGTACCCAAAACCGACGATTCATCTTTACCGGTTCTCACATTCCGGATGTGGGTTCTTGGTATAGGCGCGTGCATTGTACTCTCTTTCATCAACCAGTTTTTCTGGTACAGAACGATGCCGTTGAGTGTCACCGGAATCTGCGCTCAGATCGCCGTCGTGCCGATTGGACATCTCATGGCGAGGGTGCTTCCGACAAGGAGATTCTTGGAAGGTACGAGGTTTCAGTTCACCTTAAACCCAGGTGCCTTCAACGTCAAGGAACATGTTCTGATAACCATCTTTGCAAATTCCGGCGCCGGCTCCGTTTACGCTACTCACATACTCAGTGCTATTAAGCTTTACTACAAACGTCCTCTTCCTTTCCTCCCAGCGTTTCTCGTCATGATCACCACTCAGGTCTCACTTCACTTTATCCTCTGTTTCTTGTTTTTAATTCTCTTGCTTTTTCTTGAATCTTGAAATCGTTTCTTGTGTTTAGATTCTTGGATTTGGTTGGGCGGGTCTCTTTAGGAAACACCTTGTTGAGCCTGGTGAAATGTGGTGGCCAAGCAATCTTGTTCAAGTCTCTCTCTTTGGTGCCTTGCACGAGAAGGAAAAGAAATCTAGAGGAGGCATGAGTCGAACACAATTCTTCTTAATCGTCCTCGTAGCTAGCTTTGCTTACTACATCTTTCCTGGTTATCTATTCACCATGTTAACATCAATCTCATGGGTTTGCTGGCTTAATCCCAAATCAATTCTGGTAAACCAACTCGGTTCAGGTGAACATGGTCTTGGTATTGGTTCCATTGGTTTTGATTGGGTCACCATTAGTGCTTATCTTGGAAGCCCTTTAGCTAGTCCATTGTTCGCTTCCGTCAATGTAGCCATCGGTTTCGTGCTGGTTATGTATATCGTCACGCCTGTTTGTTACTGGCTTAACATTTATGACGCCAAGACCTTCCCTATCTTCTCTAGCCAGCTCTTCATGGGTAATGGCTCACGTTATGATGTTTTGAGCATTATTGATAGCAAGTTCCATCTTGACCGGGCGGTTTACTCTAGGACCGGCTCCATTAACATGAGCACCTTCTTTGCTGTTACTTATGGTCTCGGGTTTGCTACGTTGTCTGCCACCATTGTCCATGTCTTAGTCTTCAACGGAAGGTATATATGTTCATTTATGTTCTGGTAACCGAGAAAGAATCACTAATAATTTTTATGTCTTTACAGTGACTTGTGGAAACAGACAAGAGGGGCCTTTCAAAAGGATAAGAAAATGGATATACACACAAGAATCATGAAGAAAAACTACAGGGAAGTTCCATTGTGGTGGTTTTTGGTCATCCTTTTACTGAATATCGCGCTCATCATGTTCATCTCCGTGCACTACAACGCGACCGTGCAGCTTCCTTGGTGGGGAGTGTTACTTGCTTGTGCCATTGCCATCTCTTTCACTCCTTTGATCGGTGTCATAGCTGCTACTACTAATCAGGCACCGGGTTTGAACATCATAACCGAGTATGTTATCGGGTATATATACCCGGAACGTCCTGTTGCCAACATGTGTTTCAAGGTCTATGGATACATTAGTATGACTCAAGCGCTAACTTTCATTTCCGATTTCAAGCTTGGTCATTACATGAAGATCCCGCCTAGATCCATGTTCATGGCTCAGGTATGTTATAAATTGGTTTTAAGATAGATTACCAATAAAACAAAAACATGACTAATCAAACTGTAACAAGTGCAGGTGTTTGGGACTCTTGTGGCGGTTGTTGTGTACACAGGAACAGCTTGGTGGTTAATGGAAGAGATTCCTCATCTCTGTGACACGGCCTTGCTTCCTTCAGACAGCCAATGGACTTGTCCCATGGACCGCGTTTTCTTTGACGCCTCTGTGATTTGGGGACTAGTGGGACCACGTAGGGTGTTTGGAGACCTTGGAGAATACTCAAATGTCAACTGGTTCTTCCTCGTCGGAGCCATAGCTCCACTCTTAGTTTGGCTAGCCACAAAGATGTTCCCGGCTCAGACATGGATCTCCAAGATTCATATCCCTGTTCTTGTGGGAGCCACCGCAATGATGCCACCAGCAACAGCAGTTAACTTCACCAGCTGGCTCATCGTCGCATTCATCTTTGGCCACTTCATTTTCAAGTACAGGAGAGAGTGGTGGACGAAGTATAACTATGTGTTGTCTGGTG